ATGGAACCGTTGGAGCTGAGGGGTGTTCGCCAAAAAGAAGATAAAGCTAAGGAAGTGTTGATCCAGTGGAAGAACCTTCCTAACTACGAGGCCATGTGGGAGCCATACGAGAGGACGAAACATCAGTTTCCTGATTTTCACCTTGAGGACAAGGTAATTCTTTGGGAGGGCGGTAATGTTACGCTTGGACCGGTCCCAGCTGGACCGGTCCGGTTCTACGCCCGGCGGTTCAAAGCCGGGCGGAACCTGTTCGCAGAAACGGCGGAAGAAGAGGCGGGCTAGGAGGATTTTCAGCGTTTCGTTGGAGGGAAATTTTGAATGAGGAGGGTGTTTATGTAATTTGTATCTTTCCTTTTGCTTTAATTAGGAAGATGGGGGGGGGGGATTAGGGTTATCTTAAATTTGAGTTTTCTCTTTGAGATCTTGGTTTTTTTTTGGGCTCTTGGCTTCGCCGGAGACTTTGGAGAGTACGTTCTTCCTCTCGAATTGAAGAACAAATTGTATCTTTGCCATTTTATTCGTCTACCAATAAAATACTAACCTTTGCTTGCGTTGGATCTCAGTTTTCTCGCGTTTCCTCACTGTTTTCCTGTGCAAAGCTGCTGTCCACTGCTGGAGACAGCAGTTTTTCCCTGGTTCTGCTTCAGTTTTGGCTAGGAATTACTTGATTTCAAGTATTTCCTATCACAATGGGAGGGGGTGTTTGAGCTGCTATACTGGGTGGATTCCTAAGGTTGGAGGGGTCGGGTGCGACTGTGAGTGAGGTTGGAAACACGGCTACCATATCGGGCAAGCTTCAGTAGACGACTATGGTCGGTCGAAATAGAGAGGAGGAAGCGGAGTTGCGGCTTGAGGGACCAGATCGGGTGGCTGGGTCATGAACGGGATCCCGACCAGGTGTGCGGACGGGAGTTTCGCAAATTAGAGTTGAGTCGGTGTGTAGAGGGAGTGTTCGAATGGTTCAGGGCAACTAGATCAGATGGCTAGGTTGAAGAACAAGTTCGATCGTAGGATTAGCGAAGTTGATCGGCGGCTTTGTAGGTGCGGCTGGTTGGGGAGTGATGGGACAGGAGTGGATCGAAGGCAGTTAATGATGGCTTGAGGCACGGGCTGTGAAGGTGGATCGATGGGAGGGCTCGATTTGGCTACAAGAGAAAGCGAAAGGTTTTGATGGGTCTAAGGATCGGCTGCTAGAGTTGAGCATGGAAGAAAAACCAAACGAACGTCCCGTTTCTCCTTCGTTTTATCAACAAGAGCAACAACAATCGAGGCGAGAGTAAGGGGACTGTTAGGCGCCGATTTGCAGAGATTTGAGCAAAATACAGGGAAAGTGAACGACATGGGTGCAGAACAAGTACTAGGTATTTTCTTTTTTATATATTTTTATTTTAATTATTATTACTACTATTATTATTATTATTATTATTATTATTTTAAAATAATAAAATAATGAGAGAAAATTTAATTTAGCCTCGATTTGTATGCCGTCTCCAAAGGATCTGCGCCGATTTTCTTGTGCGAATTCTATTTGATCAAAATTACAATCATTTTTAGGTGACTCGGACATTTTCGTGACTCAGATGTTCGGAACGCAACTGCGAAGTCTGTTTTCCGATCGGACATCGTTTATGCAGCCTTGAGCGTCATTTTCAGGTGTCGATCACCGATTTTGATCATTTTCACTCGATTTGACTGTGAGGGCCTCCCTCTCAGGTAAATTTGACACTCTTATGACAATGACGCAATCCATTTGGTGATCGAAAATCATTTGACCATTTAAGTGACACATCGCGCTTGTTAATTGTCACTCGAGTCGTTGATTTGGCTCTTTTTTCATGCTTTTTTTGTATGGGTCAACATGCACTTCTTGCCATCTCTCTAATATCATTCTAGTTTGACTCCACACCCACTTAAAAATTATAATATAGGCTTGGCTTTTCATGTATTCTTTTGCTGGCAAACTCAGATCCAAATAAAGCTTCGAGCTTCCATGATATTTCACATATCACAAAAACTCTTGAGACATCCATTTTAACTAACCAGCTTTAGCTTTAGAGGGTAATCCTATTCTTTTGTACAAAACATTAAATGTTTTTCTTATTTGAATCTGTCATACATTATTGCAATGCTTTACTAGATTTTTTGCATTTAATCAATTATAATAGTATTGGAATAATTGTTAACCACAAGAAAAGATTCAAAAAGTAAAGCGTAAATATTTTAACACAGGATGAAGGTAAACTGTTGGATGAGAACTTCAACTCATAAATAACAACAAACCTCATAACATTATTCTAAAGAGCACTAAATTCTTTCAAAAGATGGCATTGAATCAAACAAATAGCAATTGACAAATAAACTAGTACTTAAATGAGCATTTTATTCAACATAACATTAATGTGGGCAATCAACTTAATTTAAAACCAAAGCTTTAACAAAAACCTAATGATTGTCAGTTCATATAAAAGAAACGACATTGTCACTATCAATCACAAACATCTATTAAGATAAAAATTATCAATCATTGGCTCAATTCATCCATGATAAAGAGCTAGTTTAGCGTAGATTCAGATTAAGCAAAATACCTTTAACCTTCAAACTACTTTAGTTTTTGCTTGCTTTGGCAAGCTTTAGCATAGTGATGGAGGTAAACAATGGGAATATGGAAACATAGGATATTAGAAGAGAAAAGAGAGAAAAGGGAAGGAAAAGAAAGATACGCATAAAATCCTGAAATTGTTCATTTTGATTCCCCAAAGGATTGGGTTATCAAAACCTCAACGCAAGGCATTGAACCATCAAAGAACGAAGATGTGATCCCTATTAAATAAAATACAAAAAGGGATGAAACCCCATGGAACCAGAACTCAAAATATTTCATTCATCAGCATATGATTACTTAGAATAACAAGCCTTATTCAAAACGAGAATATTACCCTTAAACAGTTTAAAAAAAACTAGTCTTAAGTAACCATTAATAATTTGCTAAAAGGCAACTAAGGACAAATATAGCAAAAAAGGTATAACTGAAAGCATAAACTTAGCCAATGCCACTCTGTAGACATCCAAGAGTAAGCCTCCTATACTCATAAATTTCCCAAGCCTGAAAATAAACCTAATCCAGATAAATGAACTATTGTTGAAGGAACAATAGAAGATCTATTGTATTATTAAGTTCGTAAAATCTACTGTATGAGATCCCATCCTAAAGTAGAAAAGACAAATGGGAAATCCATCCCGAGAAAATAAAAAAGAAGATAAAATGAAAATCAATCTCGAGGTAAGAGATATGAAGATCAATCCCGAGAAGAACTACTCCATGTACAGCAATATAGAAAAAAGACTCACCGTAGATCCTTTTAAGCAACATCAATAAGCATTGGTATATAATTCTTGAGAGTCTGCATGCATATTCATAGACTATCAGGCGCTCTAATTTTGACACACCGTCTAAAAGAAACTTTTTTTTTCTTTTTTTCATTGCATAAGAGCTACAAAGGCAAAACAAATGCAGTCGTAATGCAGTTTTCATTTCTTATTTCTAGAGAATGAGAATTGGAAATCTGCAAGCTCCATTTTGTTACATAAATAAGTGACATAGCTACTAGTTTAAAATTGAAGACAAGAATAATAATTTACTTGGAAAGTACATCTAGTATGAAATGACAATCTTCTTCAATATGTTCGGTGTGTTCATGAAAATATCATTGTTGGCAATGTGGATGGTGGTGATTGTCACATTGTAAAGTTATAGATTGAAAAAATAGAGAAACTAAATTCTCCTAAAAGAGTTTTAATTCACATCAAGTCACATGCAAAAGAGGAGAATGGAGGTGTTGGAAAGAGAAAGCACTATGAAAAATAGCTAGGGATGAGTGCAATGAATATCCACAAAAATTGTATGGTTTGCTTGTTATGCTTCATGAGAGGGAATGAGAAGTGCTTGTTTAGAGAGAGAAAACACACATGAAAAGAGGAAGTGAGGGAAAAGACATAAAATATAGAAAATTTATATAACAAACATAGGGGGAATTGTTGTATTCAACTGCAAAAAATAGAGGAAAAGATAAAACCATAGGAATTTGAATGGGATACCAACTTAGGTATGTGATTGAAATTTGAAAGCATAGAAGATTTTAGGAGAAAAATAGAGAAAAGGGAATAAACTATAGACTGAATCACCAAGTTAATGATGTAGATGCCCCAAAAATGGAGCTAGAGAATCCTCAAGGCAAGGTATAAACTCTCAAATATAGAGGGGTGTGAATCCTAATTCCTAAAGCAACTATAAGGATATTTAATCCCATAAAAATATAACTCAATATTTCATTCATAAATATTTGAATTACATGGCCAAATGCACTATTTATGATATTAGTCCTTATTCAAAATTACAAACCTACCCTTAGACAAATAAAAAGAAAAATCAAACTATTCCCAAGTAATAACTGATACTTCAACCAATAATAATTAGCCTAAAAATAACAAAGGGAAAACATAACATAAAACGTAACACAAATCATGGCATATCCTTTCTTTCATCCTAGTACTAGTATATCTCCCAACGTTATTTATTCCTTTTGTAAACACTGCTATGCATTGAGGGGACTATTGAGAGACAATATGAACAAAAAATATGTTATAATCATAATATTAACTCAGTTTACATCCAACTGACATAATAATTTTATAGACGCAAGCATTCAGGGTTTAAGAAACTATAGTCGTAAACAGTACTTTAAAGTTTTCTTAACAAAACCCTTTCGAAAACTTAAAAATAAAATACAGAAAATGCCAAAACCAGGACCAGTTAATGATTTTTCTTAAAAAAAAGTAAAATTACCAGAATAAGGGTCGTGACAAGTAATAAGTAGTTTAAATCGTATGAAGCTATTTTTTCATTAGAGAAAGTCCACGTGCAAATATTACTTGTATATATGCCAAAACAAAATGTCAGGTAGAACTCATGCAAAAGATCAACAAAAGTGATGGAAACTGACAGGGTCAACACCAATTTTGCAACCAGACGGCAATACTTCGTTCAGCCACTCAGTAGTTGTTGGAACACCAATATTTCCACTTCTCATGAGAATCCAATCACGTCCTAATTGTTTCTCCGCCTAATCATCATGAAACCAAAGACTATGTTAACAATGAAGATTATAATATGAATGATGATTTCAAATACTAAGTCTCATTAACATGCATGACTCAATCAACTGAAAGGGGGGCTTGTGGTTAATTGTGAAATGGGATAAATGTTGTTTAATTACCTGAAGAAAATAGCGGCCATCAGTCCAAAGGGCAGCCTTGTCTTTGGTCACCACAGCAGTTCCAGCACTACCATCAAAGCCTGTTAGGTAGGTTCTTCTCATAAAGCATTCTGCAATAAATTCACTCTAAAAGTAGACGAGAGATAAATCATAAATAGAAAATATGTGAGAAAAAGAATTACGTGAAGTTAAGATAGATCTTTCTTAGCTGAGGAAGAAGCTATGCTAAAATACTGAAATCAGAGAGGTGGTCAAAAATATATGATGTGGCCTCAAACTATTATGCATAAATGGTTTTTAAGTGTAGCATACAAGGTGTGTCAATCAAAATAAGCTAGGATTAAAAGGGCCGAGAATGTGATGATACATTTATGCTAGTGTATGCCAAAAATTAAATCAGGCAAAGTATTGGTGCTACACAGAAGAAAGAACACACTGCATAAGTAGCCCATCAGCATATGCATCTGCCAACTAAATCCTAACTTATAAAAGTGTTTCAGCGAATGGAGTATTAGAGGTTTTGGTGTTAATTTGAACACAATACACACATGTAAATCTTATTTATATATGGACTTGTTCAACTAGCAATTCAACGTCTAGCTTATACAAGAATTATCTTCCTGGCCATCTGAATGTAATCTCTTGCATCTTCTTTGGTTAATCGGGTACTATATTATCCATACCAAAATTTCCATAAATGCTAGAACTCACAACTTCCATGGCAGAAAGCTAACAGCATGCCATATCAATGTTTAAATTTAATCTCTTAACTCATCCTTGTTTAATCACATAATCATTATCATCATTTGCTTTATCCCAGCTAGTTGGTGTTGGTTTTATAAATTTTCATTTTTTCTATCATTCTGATAGGAAATACTTGAGTTCTCAAGTAACCCTAAGGGAATACTTGAGTTCGCAAGCAAACCTAATCGAAATTAGCACTAAATTAGATATAAATATGCTGATTACAGCAATAAATAAGACCAAACACAGCAGGTTTTGATTTAAAACAGCGAGAAGTTTGGAGAAAAACAAAGTAGTTCACTAATAGATGCAAGAAAACGATGAAAGATACAATGTTCTTCGATTCGAGAGGAAGAACAACTCTCCAAAAGTCTCTAGCAAACCCTAGAGCCCAAGCACACGATGAGATCTCAAATTCAAATTCAAGATAATCCCCAATTCCCTCCTAAGCTCCTAATTAACATCAAAGGACAATTACAAACTTCCTAAAACAGCCCCCCACATTCAAATTTTCCCTCCTAAGTTGAATTAAACCAAGCATGGCCCACCTGTGGGGCCCACCGCGTGTAGACATGGACCGGTCTAGGTTGGACTGGTCCAGCCGGCCCCTCCTGGGCCGGCGGCATATCAATACTACCCTCCCAATGACTCACCTTGTCCTCAAGGTGGAAAGAAGGGAATTGATCCTTCATTCTATCAATTGGTTCCCACGTAGTGTCGAACTCAGGGAGGCCTCTCCATTTAATCAACACTTCTTTGTTGTCCTTTTTATCTGATCGGACTCCTGCCAGCTCTAGTGGTTCTAAAACCACCTCTATGTCCTCCGTCATAGTATCTGGTAGTTCTTCACTTGTTGCATGCTCCCTTATGGCCTTTCTCAGCTGAGACACATGGAACACTGAATGTATAGTGGCTGATGGGGGTAGCTTCAATCGGTACACCACCACTCCAATCCTGTCCAAAACCTCATAGGGGCCAAAGTACCTTGGTGTCAATTTCACATTTCTCCTTCTAGCCACTATCCTCTGCCTGTATGGTCGTAGTTTCAGAAACACCTTCTCCCCCACTTCAAACTGCATGTCTCTCCTGTGTGAGTCCACCTGCTTCTTCATGATCTGTTGTGACCTCATCAGATGTTTTTTCAGTTCTTCCAACACCTCTTCCCTTTCCTCCAGGTATTGTTCAACTGACAAAATGGATATACTACCACTCCCATAGTGCGCTAGGTATGGAGGGTCCCTTTCATACAGCACTTTGAATGGGTTCATATATGAGGCGGAATGGTAGGAGGTATTGTACCAATACTCAGCCCAAGGCAACCACTTTGCCCACATTCTCGGCGTCTCCGACACAAAACACCTCAAATAGGTCTCCAGACTGCGGTTTACCACCTCCGTCTGCTTGTTTGTCTGTGGATGGTAGGCAATGCTTCTCTTGAGGATAGTGCCCTGCAATCGGAACAGCTCCCTCCAAAACTGACTGAGGAACACCTTGTCACAATCCGACACTATCGATTCAGGAATCACATGCAGTCTAACAACCTCCCTGATAAATGTTGTTACCACTGACACCGCAGTGTAGGGATATCTCAAGAGGATGAAGTGTGCATACACCACCACCATGATAACAGTGTATCCTTATTATCATGGTAAGCCGTCGATGAAGTCCACGGACACTTCCTCCCATACTCTATTCGGAAGTGCCAATGGTTGGAGTAGTCCTCCCGGAGCCATAACATGTATTTGTTCCTCTGGCACACTTTACATCTGGCCACCATCTCTTCTACATCTTTATGCATCCCTTTCTAGTAAAGCTCAGATGCTAGCCTTCTATATATCTTCGGTACCACTGAATGACCCCCCACCGTGTTTCTATGAACCTCCTGTAACAAGTGGGGGATATGTATAGAAGTTCGTGGCATTACAAACCTCCCTTGGTACAACAATCTCTCCCCCTCCATATAGTAACCAGGATGGCTACTCTTGTTCTTCATCGGATCCTTCCTGATCTTTCTCAATTCTTCATCCAGTAGGCTTTCTTCTTTGATGGCCCCCAGTCGACCACCAAGGGTACAGACACCGCTAATTCCTGGAGTTCTCCCACACATCTGGATAGAGCGTCAACTGTTTTATTTTCCAAACCTGACATGTACTGAATCTCAAAATCGTAGCCCAATAGTTTGGATAGCCATTGTTGATGCTCCTCAATCACCATTCTTTGCTCCAAGAGGTACTTTAAGCTTCTCTGATCGGTCCGAACAATGAAGTGTCAACCCAATAGATAGGGGCGCCACTTCTGAATGGCCAAAACAATGGTCATTAGCTCCCTCTCGTACACTGACTTCAATCTTCCTCTGATTGATAGTACATGACTGAAATATGCCATCGGCCTGTGGTTCTGCATCAACACTGCCCCCAACCCATATCCTGAGGCATCGGTCCCTACTACAAAGACCTGACTGAAGTCTAGAAAGGCTAGAACAGGAACAGTGGTCATGGATTCCTTTAACCTCTCGAAGGCCTGGGTCGCTGCCTCTCCCCATGAGAAATTGTCTTTCTTTAGCTGCTTAATCAAAGGCCAGGCAATGGTACCATACCCCTTCATAAATTTTCTGTAATAACAGCAAAGCCTAGGAAACCCCTCAACTCCCTTATGTTCCTAGGCAGTGGTCATTTCTGCATTGCCTCAATTTTAGTTTGATCCGCCGCCACTCCTTCCTGGGATACAACATATCCCAAGTACTCCACACTTGCCTGAGCAAAACTGCACTTCTTCAGGTTGGCTTTCAGTTGATGCTCCTGAAGCACTTCTAAGACCACTTTCAAATGTTCCAAGTGCTCCTCCACGATCTTGTTGTACACCAGAATGTCATCAAAAAAGACCAGGACAAACTTCATGAGGTGCTGCTTGAATACCCTATTCATCAAAGACTCAAAAGTTGCATGAGCGTTAGTCAATCCAAAGGGCTTTACCATAAATTCATAATGCCCCTCATGTGTTCTGAAGGCTGTCTTTGGAACATCTGCCTCCATCATTCTGATCTGGTGGTATTCGGATTTTAAGTCCAACTTGGAAAACATCACTGCCCCATATAGCTTGTCCAACATCTCATCAATCACCGGAATTGGGAACTTGTCTGGTACAGTGCCCCTATTCAGAGCCCTGTAATCCACACAGAATCTCCAACTCCCATCAGTTTTTTGACCAGGAGAACTGGATTAGAAAAAGGGCTAACGCTGGGTTTGATGATCCCAGCCTCCAGCATTTCCCGGATCAGCTTCTCTATCTCATCTTTCTAAATTTGTGGGTAACGATAAGGGCGAACGCTGATCAGAGTCTCTCCTTCTTTCAAAGTAATGGCGTGCTCCAACTCTCTCTAATGAGGTAAACCCTTGGGAGGTTGAAAAACCTCGCTGAACTGGTGTATGAGCAACTGCGCTGAAGATGGAGCATTGTCTTCTTTCTCTAGTCTAACCACTTCCAGGCGGTGCAACTCCACTAAGTAGCCTCCTCCCTCCTCCTGAATGGTTCTGATTAGGGATTTGAGAGAAACTCTAGCCTTGGTCAGCCCAGCATCACCCTGAATCATCCTCCTTCTTCCCCCACCACCAACTCCATCCTCAATGTACCCCAATTGATCTTGGTCTCACCCAATGTCTGCAGCCACTTCATCCCTAGGATAACATCAGTGCTCCCCAATTCCAAGGGAAGGAAGTTCTCCTCACCTGGATCTCCTGAATCTTCAGGACCACCCTCTACAAACTCCTCTACCCATTTCCACATTTCTCGTGCCCATCATCACCCAATGACCTCCTGTATCCACTAACTCCATCCCCAACAGCTCAATGACCTGGTTGGAAATAAAATTATGGGTTGCCCCACTGTCAATCAACACCACCACCTCACGGTCAACTATCTCTTCTTTCACATTCATAGTGTGACTCAGAGTGAATCTCACTACAGAGTTTAGAGAGACTTCTGCCACATCTATGTGCAGCTTCTCCTCCTCCTCTTCAGATCTGCTACCACCTCCCTCCTCGTCTTCCTCATCTTCACAGACAAGGAGAACCTAAAGAGTTCGATCCTTGCACCTATGTCTTGGCATGTACTTCTCATCGCATCTATGTTGACCCTCATGTAATGCTCAAAGGAACAAAGGGGAGAAGAACAAAAAAAATCCCACATACACATATCTTACCCATCGGATCCAAAGATTCTACCGCAGATCGCGTCGATTCGGCGCCGTTCGCGTCGCATCTCCGCATCTCCTGCGTAAATTTCGTGAGCTCGCCTCGATCCCGCTCCTTCCTCTGCCTTTAAAATGAGAAGGAAACCCTCCCATTCGCTACCTTCTCCACTGCCGATGCTCTTCCACACGACCACATCCCGCTGCCTCCCTCTCTGCCCTAACCAGTCCCTTGCCCGATCTCCTTCAGCCGAGAGAGAGAGAGACTAGCCTTAATTGAAAGTTCTCTCTTGTTAGTGGGAGGGGTAATTAACTATAGGGGCTTGCGCCTATAGGAAACCAGAACTCAGATCATAAAGTCCTCACAAAATGAGGGCGAAATCTCTGGGTAGTGTCTTATCTACAAACTCATCTGCCTTCCAAAATTTACCCCGGAACTTAGTTCGTTAAAACTCCCTCGCCGAATAAAAAGAAAAGCGAGCGGAGGCCGGGGCCGAATTTTCGGAGCCCCAATCTAAAGCACAACCCCTTTGCCCTCTTATCCTGCATCTCCTTCTCTGTCCGCTTCTTGAATTGTCCCCCATTTCCCCCTCCAATTTTCTCCTTTGGCGCTTCCTTCAGATTCCCTAGCGCTGCCCCTTTTGAGGGTAAGAATGTGGTAGTCATCTTGTATGATCCCCCTGAATAATTCTCTCGAGCTCCTCTTCCTGATTTCTTCTGATCCTCCACCAATTGCGCCAGCTCCATAACCTTCCCTAGGTTCCTCGGCTCCAGCACCCTGACTGCTATTCGTATCTCAAGTTTAAGCACCTTCATGAAGTTCCCTTCTAGGGCTGACTCTGAAATATGATCCAATCTGCTAGCCAAGTACTCAAACTTGTCCCGGTAATCTGCCACGGTCCCCTCCTGAGTCAAGGCAAAAAATTGCTCATAGAAATCTCCTCCCCCATCGACTCGAAAACACTCTAATAAGCAATCTTTGAACTCTCTCCAACTCCGTATGGGCTCCCTCATGTCACGCCCTTGATACCAGGCCAAAGCTTTTCCTTCCAAACACAATCCCACCGCCGTCAGCTTCTCTTCCTTTGTCAACACGTTGACAGCGAAGTAACGCTCCACCTTGTAGATCCAGCCATGGTTGTCTTCACCCTCAAAGACAAGCATCTTCAGCTTCCTCACCCGTGGGTCTCCCCCATGTCCCCTGAATCCTCCATAACCTTCCATTCCTCGAAGAGGAGGTGCTCCCCAACTATCACGATCTTCCCTCCGGCGATTATACCCGAACCCTTCATCATATTCTCCTCTTGTCCCTTCAAAATCAGCACCCCGGCGATGAAATTCTTCCCTTCTCCCGACGAAATCAGCACCCCTCCAGTCATTTCCCAAACTCATCTCCTCTCTAGAAAGTGACTTTAAAGGTGGCATGTTGTCCTCCCCCTCAATGACCTCCAATTCTGGATTTCTCCTCCCCTTAAACGAGTTCGAATTTCTTCCTATACCATGACCTCCGGTGGTCTCTCTTGCTTCCAATGTCGTAGGATTTGTCTTCAACTCCAACAGTTTCAATCTCTTCCATCACCGTAAATTTTCCCTTTATCCTTTCATTGTTGGAGGTGATTTGAGTTTGAAAGTCAAAGAACTTTCCATCCAAATCTGATTTTAGTTGACCGATCTCGCCTTCCAAGACCTCTACCTTCTTACCGGCCATCTATCTTCCCAAGAATCACGAAAATCTTCTTCCAGTGAAAAAAATTCAGCTGAAGTTTCAGGATTTCAGCTGTCAAGGGTCCCAAATCGATGCTTTGATACCAATTTGATAGGAAATACTTGAGTTCGCAAGTAACCCTAAGGGAATATTTGAGTTCAAAAGCAAACCTAATCGAAATTAGCACTAACACAGAGATAAATCTGCTGATTACAGCAGTAAATAAGACCAAACACAGCAGGTTTTGATTTAAAACAGCGAGAAGTTCGGAGAAAAACAAAGTAGTTCACTAATAGATGCAAGAAAACGATGAAAGATACAATGTTCTTCGATTCGAGAGGAAGAACAACTCTCCAAAAGTCTCTAGCAAACCCTAGAGCCCAAGCACACGATGAGATCTCAAATTCATATTTCAAATTCAAGATAATCTCCAATTCCCTCCTAAGCTCCTAATTAACATCAAAGGACAACTACAAACTTCCTAAAACAGCCCCCCACATTCAAATTTTCCCTCATAAGTTAAATTAAACCAAGCATGGCCCACCTAGGGCTTCCGCCCCCCTTCTCTTTCTGTTTTTCCGCCGCCCCTATGGGGCCTGCCGCATGTAGACATGGATCGGTCCAGGTTGGACCGGTCCAGCCGGCCCCTCCTGGGCCAGCGGCATATCACATTCCTACGGTGTGAAGCATAAGATTTTAAACTTATTTTGTCATTAGTTACTCCCATTATCACCATCAATCATATCTCAATTATTTGGGATGGATTTATGAATTCTCATTTTCTATTGATTTCTTTGAAACTAGCCGGAACTAGTAAGTGTACTAGCTATACTATCGAAAAAAAAAATACGATATTGCTCATCTATGCTGGAACTAAATAAATGAGTAGAAAAAAACTATAAAGATCCAAATTTCAAAAAGGTTGGAAGAATTAAAAGCATTTATTAAACAAAGTCAATGCTAAGTATGGCAAGAGAAAAGTGATTCTAGACTTTGAAACAAATAAATGGATTAAGAGTAAAGATAATGATATCATTATTAAAAAAATCATATCAAAGAAATATGAAAAAGTATTTTTTGGAATTATTGAATAAAAAGGCTAAGAGTGAAATGTTGAGAAGAGCAAAATAGATAATATTATTAATTACACTTGTATGAAGTTTTAAACCTATTTTGTGCAAATTTGCACACATTTTTATCTAACATCCTTCAATCCTCAAAAACAAATTGTCATCATCATCATTAGCCTAATCTAAACTATTTAGGATTGATTTTATAAATCCTCATTTTCCAGTCATTCTAGAAATTAATTGAAACCAAGTGTGCTAGTTAATCCATGGACTAGCTATCTTAAATAAAATTGTATGATAATCCATGTTGAAACTCTCAAGTAAGCCAATGTTGAATTCAAATCAAATATATCATATAAGAAATAGAAAAAAAAAATCATATAAATGCAATAAAGTATAAAACAACAAAGGCTGGAAGAATAAAATACGTGTAATAAGCAAACTAAAAATCACAATTTTAGATACCTAGCATAGTGTTGATTTCGATAAATATTTCGAAGTCGAACCAATCGAATACAGTAAAAATAAGTAAGCGGAGAACATGAAGTCATGCAAATGCCCCCCAAGACACATCAACCTCCTCGCTTATTGTGGAAAAATCGTGTGTTTTTAGAGTGGGAGAAATTTGATTTTATTTATTTTCTCCTATGCAGCGTTTTCGAGCATCAACTTGACACACAAAGTCATCTTCTTAGATCCCCTTAGATAACGCAATTTATGGTTATTGAAAAGAATCCTTCGATCAGGTTTGATTGATAACCTCCATCAACTATGTAGACCTAGGTACATAACAACCCAAAATAATGAAACCATGGGATCTCGATCAAATTCGTCATCATTCCCCCCATTATCCACTTTAAGCAAATGATGACAATTTTTCTTCAATTTTAAACTAAATCGCTAATCGTTTGGCATCTATCTAATGACTAGCCTTTATCAAAAATTCTCTCTTGTCATAGAGGGGGATAATTAACCATAGAGGCTTGGGTCTATGAAAATCCTGAAATTAAATCTTAAAATCATCGCACAATGACAAATAAAATATCTGGCTAGTGCCTCATCTGCAATCTAATATGTCTTCTGAAAATAAACGAGGAAAATTCTAACTCTCTTAGCAAAGTCGAAGCACAATTTTTAAGAGCTTGCATATAGTAAGGGATATAATGAATAAAACAAAAATCCTTTATCCCGCTACATGGGGATGGCTACATGAACAATTTTTCTTCATTATGTCTAAATAAGCATCAAGTTATCATTTAAATCTAAAGAAATATCATTTTTAAAACTTTCAAACCTAGTTTTTTTAAGTCTATATTTACCTTTCTTAACATAGAATGGATCTAATACATTTACTCTCCTAACAAGGTCACCGACATGCTGACATTTTATGTGATCAAACCATTAAAGGTGATTCACTCTAATCATATGTCACTGGAGCTACTCCAACCTTTTCACATATATACTCGTTTCACATTCTATGTCCAAGTGCAAAGCCACTCAAACATCAGAGCATGCTCATCTCTATAACAGTTAATTTAATTCTTCTCTTTTAATGACCAATATTCTACGTCATAAAACATTGTAAGTCTTACCACCATCTTATAAAAATTTTCCTAAAGTTTGAGGGGTAATTTTCTATCACACAACAAGCCTGATGCATCCCTCCATTTCAACCATCCAACTTGAGTTCTACTGAAAATATCATCATCTATTCCACCATTGCTTTAAATAATAGACCCTAGAGATCTTAAATGTGCACTATTTTTAATGAATTGATCATACAATATCACAAGGGACACAATATCCATAATTTAAGTTTTTCATCAACTCTCTCCCTAGTCTTATCAACAAAAAGAATATCATTAGCAAAATGCATACACCAAGGGATATCCATTTATGAATGTCTAGTAAAAACATCCATAACTAAAGCAAAAAGATATGGCTTAAAACTAATCCTTAATGTAATCCAACTTAAATAGGAAATAATAGGTCAAACAGTCAAACCATCTTGTTTTTAAATACTAATAATAGCTCATGTATAAATATCTTTAATGACTTGAATATAAGCATTATTAACTCTTTATTGTTTTAGAACTCTCTAGAGCTTTTCTCATGAATCTTTATCGTATGTTTTCTCTTCATCAATAAATATCATATATAAATCCTCCTTACTCTCTTTGCACTACTATCAAACCTCTCAGCAAATGTATAGCTTCTATAATAGACCTACTCAATCAGCATGAATCCAAATTGATTGATAGGAAGTAGTATCCCATCATAGCCCATTCTCTATTACCCTCTCCCATAATTTTAATGTATAACACGTTAACTAATTCCTGTATAATTCGCACAGCCTTGTGCATCATCGTTATTCTTAAAAATATGAATCAACACACTTTTCTTCACTCATCTGACATATTTTTAGTCTTCAAAATAATATTAAAGACTTTAGTAAGCCAAAAATTTATTGATCTCCTAAGCATTTCAACACCTCTATTGGAATATCATTAGGTCATACTATTTTTCACGCTTCATTTTATTTAAAACCTCTCCAACTTTGGTTTTATTAATACAACGATAAAAATAAAAATTATATTTTCATTTAGGGTGCTAAAGTCACTAAAGTCAATCGTATTCTCACAACCTTCATTGAAAAGTTTATCATATCAAAGCCCTTGATGAGAAAAATTGAGGGTAACATTTAGATAGTCGACAACCAACATAAAAATATTTGAACAATCATGGCATAGATATAATGAATAAGGAGAAAAAAAGATATAAAAATACTTAGGGGAAGAGATCTAAAGATTTAGATCAAATATATGTATTAAAAATGAAGATGTTAAGATTTTAATTCAAGATTAAGATATCAAATAACAATGAAATAATATCTTTTACTAATTTTTAAATTAAAGGATTAAGAAAAAGGTTTGAGAAGAAGAAAATATATAAATCATTAAGTAAACAATAAAGTTGAGTCAAATTTGAAAATTGTGCGACATAAAACATTGTCTAATGTTAATGAGTAAGAGGTATGAACATATCCTTTTTCTACATATAGAAGCAAGAGAGTCATCAACAACTAGAATAAGAAAAAGTGATGTCGTTGTACGTGATGAAAATAATTATTGATTATCCATCATATGTGAAGAAGCATCAAAATTTAAAACTTAATACATGCTAGAATACGCAATCGCGGTCCAACCAAAAAAAGGAAATGACATGAGATGCTAAAATGATCAATTGAGAGTGTTTTTCCAAATTTTTGCGAGCAAAAACTAAACTTTCCTAGGTAATAAAAATTACAAAGATTGCCCCAAAATAGACAAATTAGACAAATTACAACAAAAACAAACTTTAATATTATAAAAGATGCTTACAAACTTTGACGACATAAAGACAACTTAAACACCCAAAGTTGCTTTGCTTTGAAAAGAAAGATACAAGTGGAATGGTACTTGCGGAGAGAATGAGGCAAGAAGTCCAAGACGAAGATAGGAGGACAAGCTCGCAAGCTTTCCTAGGAGAAGGGAGGAATGGAACAAGCACGCAAGCTTTTCCACGAAGAAACCCACAGGTTTTTATCCAAAAACTAGCCACATAACCATCCTTTTAACATCCCAAAATACCTCCTGTTTATAGCAAAAAAGGGCGGCCAAACACCTAAAACTACTAAATAATCCCATTAAATCATGGAATATAGAAGGCCAAAAGACAACAAACAGCTGCAGAAAAACTGCACAAAAAACAGGGAAAATTCCATGGAATTCCCCCCCCACACACAGCCACGGAAATCTAGCCAGCAAGGGACCCAAAAAATCAGCACAGGAGCCAAAGCAACAGTCCACGGGAAACCAGCCAGCAAGGGACCCGAAAAGCCAGCACAAGAGACAAAGAGGCAGGGCACGGGAAACCAGCCTGCAAGAGAAAACCGAGAAGGCAAAGGGAGGGGAAGAGGCACAAGTTTTAACTCATTTTAATGAGCTTACAAGAATAATACCTTTCCCAATTAATGAGCTAACATTAGCTCACGCATTTATGAGCTAGAAACTAAGTAGAACCCAATTTATTTAGCTCAAAACCAAGTAGCCAAAGCCCAATCCGAGAGCAGCCATGGCCCAAACCAAGAGGCAGAAAACAGTCCAATGCTTGCCTACATTAATTCTCCTCTGGTTGAAAGAACTCATCTCCTGATGAAGCTTGAGTTTGCTTTGAATCTTGACCTGAGGTTTCCAAAGGCTTATTGCATGGACTATGACTCATGACTCAAAAACAAAAATTACATGACAAATAACATGACACCAAAACCTAAGATATACTAACTCGCTCTGATACCGAATTGATGCAAGCAAAAATTTGGGAAGGAACCCAAATTTTTGAGAGCAAAAACTAAACTTTCCTAGGTAATAAAAATTACAAAGATTGCCCCAAAATAGACAAATTACAACAAAAACAAACTTTAATATTATAAAAGACGCTAACAAAGTTTGACGACAACAACTTAAACACCTAAAGTTGCTTTGCTTTGAGAAGAAAGATACAAGTGGAATGGTACTTGCGGAGAGAAGGAGGCAAGAAGTCCAAGACGGAGATAGGAGGACAAGCTCGCAAGTTTTCCTAGGAGAAGGGAGTAATGGAACAAGCTCGCAAGCTTTTCCACGAAGAAACCCGCATGTTTTTATCCAAAAACTAGCCACATAACCATCCTTTTAACATCCCAAAACACTTCCTATTTATAGAAGAAAAGGGCAGCCAAACAGCCACCTAAAACTACAAAATAATCCCAATAAATCATGGAATATAAAAGGCCAAAAGACAGCAAACAGCTGTAGGAAAACTGCACAGAAAACAGGGAAAATTCCATGGAATTCCCCCCCAAACAGCAACGGGAATCCAGCCAGCAAGGGACCCGAAAAATCAGCACAGGAGCCAAAGCAACAGTCCACGGGAAACCAGCCAGCAAGGGACCCGAAAAGCCAGCACATGAGACAAAGAGGCAGGGCACGGAAAACCAGCCAGCAAGGGAAAACCGAGAAGGCAAAGGGAGGGTAAGAGGCACAAGTTTTAACTCATTTTAATGAGCTTACAAGAAGAATACCTTTTCCAATTAATGAGCTAACATTAGCTCAAGCATTTATGAGCTAGAAACTAAGTAGAACCCAATTTATTTAGCTCAAAACCAAGTAACCAAAGCCCAATCCGAGAGCAGCCATGGCCCAAACCAAGAGGCAAAAAACAGTCCAAAGCTTACCTACATCAAGAAGGCAATTGTAATCTTCTTGGAAAGTGATAATTTAATCTAAAGGAGTTGTTTCTTTTGAATAATCATCTATGCTCTGCACAGCATGAAGACTTTCTACTCAAGGAATTGACCACAACTTTTAACTTCCGTGGATGATACTAGATCTTCATCAACTATAAGTTCATATACTATTGAGATTTGGAATTTACTAAGAGATATCAAGATAACATGATTAACATACATTTTTCTTGAAATACAAATGTTTGGAAGGATGCCAAATGCCTAGAAAATAAATAATTAGGTTATGATTAGTATGGTAGGAGTCATATGGTCAAAAAATTATACTAATAAGAAAGAAATCTATTTAATTCGATGACAGGAATACCTAGTCTAAATGTCATTTTGGCATTTGGAAATCAATAGAAGTGTAGAAAGCAACCAAATGATTTTTTTTTTTAATATAACTGGTTTAAACAAGGCATAAGATTGAGGCACAAATTGATTCAAAGTGCATTAAAAGTAAATTGGTGACAAAGGTTTGGTTAAGATTATAATAAATGAATATAATGAATTTCAAACTAAATCAAGACCAACTGCAAACTAAAATAAAGACCAATTGGGAAGTAACCCAAAAAATTTCAATTAACATTGATCAACATTACTTTGGTATCTTCTTGTATGGAGATTCTTCCAATAGATATTCAAAATAAGTTTCCTTAGAAGATGTTATACATCAATGGCATAGTTTAGATAGATTCGGAAATTTTAAGTAGATCAAATTAAAATAATTTAGAAAAGAATAAGAGACTTGAAATTAGTATTATAGTACAAAGTATTTAGCGTACACTATTAAATCATGTGAAATTCAAAATTATTAATCAGTCTTTTTGGAATAAAGTGGTACCAAGATGTGATAGAATGAAGGTCGTCGGATCTAAGCTATGATGCACCGACGCGGACACGTCGACACGGGCACGACACGACACGGACACGGGACACGGCATTTTTTAAAAATATAGGACACGGGTGCGGCGTGGACACGGCATAATAAATTTTTAATATAATATATAGAAATTAAGGTAACATTATATTAAAAATGACAAGCAATAATAAATCAATTTCATGATAACTTGTTTAGCTTATAACATAAAGATGTTTAGAACAAAATGTCTAGTACAACCATAAAATATTAGCAAAAAATCATTTAGTACAACATGAAGGTCCAACTACTCAATAGAGGGAATAATAGAATTAGATTCAGAGGTTGATCTTTGGCCTTCAATATCATTATCATTGAATATCATTACTCCCAACTCTGGTTCATCTAGAAAAAGATTTGCAACCTCCAATAATCTCATATCATCAAGACACTCGAACCCATCTCTAGCAACATCCCACATCTTGTTATCACATATCATATAAAGTGGGGTTTTTCTTGATAGAGGACGAAGATTTGTATGCACATAAACTAAATCTTCAGCTCGTTGTGGAGTTATTTTATTCCTCTTCATTGATTGAATAAATGAGTATGTGCTCCAATTTCTCTCACAACAAGAAGAGGATGATACTTGAAGCAATGTTTAAAATTGCGTATTTAGGTATTGAGGCGTTTTTCATTCGTGAGGCGAGGCGTAAGCCTCAAGGCGTTTTGAGGCGTAAGCCTCAAAATCAAAAGATTGCGTAAACATAAAATGATAAATTTTTTATATACTAATGAGTGAATAATATAAAACATAAAAAAACATAAGATATTAAGTGAAATCAAAATATCTCAATAATAAGACAACATGAAATATAGTTCAACTCAAAATTCTATCTTTCTCAAATCTCAGTATTCTTTTCATTAACATATAATTCCAATTTCCAAAAAAAATAGTGATGACATATCACATAATAACTCATAAGTCATCAGCACTGTCATCACTAAGGGTTCGTCATTTGAATCATCATTATGGTGAACTGCTCTCTACCCTTCCTCTCCTATAGAGTCCAATGTTGAGCATTTACTTCAAGATTTATGTAAGTTTTAATATATATAGTGTGAGGCGTAAGCCTCAAGCCAGTGAGGTGAAGCGGGCCTCAACCAAGTTGAGGCGCAAGCCTCATAAAAAAACTTGAGGTGTAAGCATCGAGGCGTTTTTTACTGGAATTGCGCAAAGGCGAGCCTCATATTGCGCAATTTTAAACCATGACTTGAAGTTCTGCTTGTTTTTAAAGTTCGTAAGTTATTTGTATGGAAAGATACCGAGCGGTACCGAGCATGTACCGAGCGGTACCGAGCATGGACCTAACGGTATCGAGCATGCACTGAGTGGTACCGAGCATGTACCTAGCGGTACTGAGCTTTTACCTAGCAGTACCGAGCATGCACTGAGCGGTACTTAGAGATACCTAGCGGTAGCGAACATGTACCTAGCGATATCTAGCGGTACCGAGCATGTACATTAGCTTTTTTTTTGGTAAGTTTCAAAAAACAACAATTAATATTTCAGGCGTCGATGACATTTATTAGTCACCGAGAGAGGAGATGAAAATATCTTCACTACCAAAAAGAAATGAAAATGAGAATATTCAATGATTGGGAATTAAGTGCGGATGTTGATTTGGTGTTGTGGATAAGAAATAAGAAATTTAGTTTAAATCCCGCAAAATACAAGAAATTATATTTTAAAAAATTCATAAAATATTTAAGATGCGCGTGTCGGACACGCGTGTCCAATTTGCATTTAATATTTTTTAATCGGACATGTTTTTGGCGTGTCCGACACGTGTCGGACGAGTGTCCTGTCGAACACGGTGTCGGACACTGCACGCCTCTTTGAGGAGAGGTGTCGGTGCATCATAGGATCTAAGAGAATGGTGGTATAAGTGATAACCTAACAAACAAAATTAAGCCTAAAGATGGAGAAGTACCACAAAACTACTATATATAAGAGAATATTATGGAATCCTAAAGGTGGACTTTGTCAAACTAAAATTAGAATGATTATATTATATGATTTTGAGTGTTAAGCAACAAAAAGCAATAGATAACCAATTGTGGCGTGCTAGAAATGAAAATATTAACATGGTTTTATGGAAAACTAAATTAGAATTTGAGATGCAATCAGAAGAGCACTATTGAAGGTAGTGACAATTAGAATTTGACTTGGTTAATAGGGCATGGACAATGGGGTGCAAAAGATGCAGCAATAAAAGCAGTAGATGGAGTTAGATTGCAAGCATCAAGAAGAATAATAGCATTTCAAAAGTGATATGGATAAATGCCATGAAAAAAACTGTGCAAAATAGAGCAATCACAATATGTTTCCCTCAGCGATAAAGGATGGAGAAGGATTAATGAGACTAATCCCAAATGACAATAAGGATAGCTTAATTGTTAGTAGAGGAGGACCTCCATTGAAGATATTGATCAAGTAATTTTTCTATTATAAAACATGAAATCTACCATCATGAATTAATATTCTAAATGGCTAGAAATCTGAAGAAAATATCTAAATAATAACAACATACAATTTCTTTTAAGATACAGAATGTTTATTAAGTACACACAAAGAAGATTTTTTTTTTGGTCCTACCTACTTCAAACTTGAGTCCAAATCAAATTGACTTGACCTTGCCAGAAGCAAAAGCTTGCACATGGTCGGATAAATTAGTTATTTCAAATGATACTCAACTAAACAATCTTAATCACAATTCAAGCTTTAACATGGTCCTGTCAAATATGGAGTCATAAATAAGTTCATTCTTTTTTATTGATATTTAATTATTAATAAACATTAATTGTTGAATACATTATCAAAAAATAATTACAAAAAGTGGCCAAATAGCTTAGATAAGCAACCATTTAATTTATATTAGGTGCTATTTTGAAGCATTTATTAAGTGCAAGTAAATAAAAATTAGCTTAATTATTTAATTAATAGCCAACTAACTCTTGCTAGCAATAAAATGCTTTTAGCTATTCCTAGTTAAGTGTGGTTCATCATAGCCCATTTCCCCACTATTTGGGCTCATCTTCATGAATCCTCATATCCTTTCAGGTTGAATAGCATATGAGGTGTAAACTCGATTTTACACTATTTCCAGTAATTTTATCTTTGCTTTACTTCCCCTTCTAATAATTCCATATAAACTCCATCAACTAGCCTAGTTGGTCATCTTTTTTCTTTTGTGCATGACAAAGCCACCTAAATCTATTATTTGCTATCTTGCATTCAATATAAGCAATTCCTATTATAACCAAGGTAATCATTTTTTATCATTCCTAACTTTACCACTCATCCATCTTTACATCCTGATTTCTACTACACTCAACTCAAGTAAGTGACTTATTTGTTGACCAGTGCTAAAATTCACACAACATTATCAGGCTAATCACAATTTTATAAGATCTATCTTCAACTCTCATTGATATTCTCTTAACATACGTAAGCCTATGGTATTTCTTCAATTTTTAATCGCACATCTATAACTCTAGAAGTTATATCATCGTCTATATTCTATTTCTTTTTATTGATAAATAGAAGATAATTAAACCTATCATGCATACTTATCATTTGATAATCTAGCAATATTGACTACTAGTTACCTGTTGCTCACTTGCTATCATGTATTCGATCTTTGTTTAACCATTTATTTTCTAAAAAAATCTCAACTTGTTTAACCTTTCACTTACATCAAAAGATACCTTGTTAAGCAAACTATCTCATTTGCAATAGTATGCCCAAGGTGTCTCACTTGGAATATATTTACAAGCAATTCATGCAAATATAATAAGATAGTTGCATTACATTGATTGTTATTGTAACTTCACTATAATTAGACATGCTTTGGAAACTTCATAATTGCCACTAATGCTAGCAACTTTGGCATTATATATATCTATGACAATTACAACATGCCTTTGACACGCATTTTTATCCTCAGTGCCAACAAAATCAAATTTCAAGTTAATCATATGCTATTTAGGACCAATAAAAACAGTCTAAATGACCTTTTGTTATCTATAAGCTTTGTTCATTTCCTAAGAATAAAAATCACTTTCATACTGCACTTTTCAGGCATAAAAAAAATTAATTAATGGATTGCTGATACTTAACTTATCTTCATAAGTAGCTAAAAACCACAAATGAGTAGTTAATTATTTATAGTAATTATTTAACTAGTTTAATTTCTAATTAAGGGAGATTAGTACCTAGCTATAGCATTGATGGCATAGTTTAACTTCTTTTGTTTTAGTATCAACTAAATTACTGAAAGCGGCTCACTTAGGAGGAACTTTTATAGGAAAACGGAAAGATATATCACAACAAAAAAACATAAACACCATAACACCAAACAGACAAGAAACAAATAAAATAGATGCATACATATAACAGCAAAATTACTATCAATAGCATAAATTCGAAACTGCAAATTATCCTCTTAATGACCACATTTCTACTTGTTTTATGCTCACCAAACCGATGCTTAAAAGAAACTCAAACACAAACCCATCCTAATACAATGAAATGAGAAACCCTAACCTGGTGCGCGTCCTGAGAGGGAATGATGTAGGCGTCGATCCCTATCCCCGGCCTCGAGAAGAGCGCTCGGAGGGATCTGAGCTTCTCGTCCTCGGAGCCCCCAATTCCGCCAGTGTTCTTCCTCCGGAGCTCTGATGAAGGCTGAGCGGTTATCCGTTCGCCGGAGCTCCGTGTGGCGACCTGTCTACGGTGATCTCGATACTTCATGGAAGCAGCAAAAAGCCGCGAGAGAGGAATCGAGAGGCCGAAGCAGCGGAAACCCCTCACATAGGGACGAGAGTGAGGGCTTCCAAAGAACGGGCTGACAGGGTAGGTGGCGGCAATGGTCGCGGCCTCCATCAGCGCCGAGTTCACTTCGGGAAGATAAGGCGGGATTTAGTTGAGGGAGGCGTGGGGAAAAGTGGCCAGTTGCGCTATTTATAGTGGTGAATTGCGCTCAGTGGACGCATCTCTGTGGCGTGCACGTACGGGAAAGAAAGGCAAACAGGCGAATTGGTGAACTGGGCAAGAACTTGATGACCCGTTCGACCCGACTAACCCGGCTGACTTTCATAGCCTTCGAAATTACTGTTTAATATTTTGCAGCTAAAGTTAGGAGGCAAAAAATTTTAAATGTTTAATGATTTTTTAAATTTAACAGTTTTTTTTAATTTATTTGTTCTTGAGTTATGACATATCTTTACCATGGTTTTAGCATTAATATATACTTTTAAAACGAATTGTCTTAATTTTTTTATCTTTCAAATTGAGATTTTTATGTTGGACAGCTTTCTTATTGCTTGTTAAATCAATTTTTTAGATCAAAAATATAGAAAAGCTTTCTTACTGCTTCTTAAAACAATTTTTTGTATAAAAACTAATTTTTTTACTAAAAATTTATTTTAAGAAATAGTAAAAATGTCGTCCCAATATTTGGACCAATTTTAACTTAATCCTTGAATTAAACATGGCTTAAAACTTTCTAGAGATGGTTCAAGGCTGCTTAGGGTTTTAAAATGGAGTGGGTTAGCTCAAGTTTAGCCATTTGACCATTCTAACCTCCTAAGCCATTTGTTTGACCATTTAACTGGTCAAATAGTCAAGGGATGGTGAGGAGGCCGATGGGATAGTGTCAACTGCTGGTAGGATGGTTTGAAGGGAGTATGAAACATTCCATTTGAAGTTTTAGTGAATTGATGCATAGAATATCCAATGCATGACAGGACCTATATTAAAAGGTTTAATTGGATTATATTTGATTATGAGTATTGAAATGACCCATATTAGCTTAAGTTGACCAGAAGTGGGTTCAGTTTATCAAGTCAACTGATGACTAGGTCATGGTGACCAGTCTAACCCAAATCACTAGGCGTATGTTCAAGAGAGCTTGAATGAGATATGAATGCAATGGAAGGTTGATTCAATGTAGAAAGGGCTTAAGGTTTGATTTGGTCAACCTAGGTTGATTATCTTGGTTAACTAGGTTAACCCAAGGCCGGGGTTTGAGCTCAATAGGTTTGGTTTGATGTTTAGAGACCAATGGAGGAAGTCTCATGTTATGGATTGATCATTTTAATGAAAATGTCCAATTTGACCCTTAAAAGGCATTTGGGTCAACTATGGTTGTTAGGCTCAACATGTTTGTTTTGATATATATAGAAACTAGTGGAGGTGGTCCTATGGTCTAGGTTAGTCATTTCAGTGAAAATGATCAATCGAACCCTTAAAGGGTATTTAGGTCAACCATGGTTAACTTGATCAACCAAGTTGATCCAATGTCTGGGTTTAAGTCCTATACACTCCGAATGATGTTTAAGATGCATTGGAAGAGGTTCTGATGTTTGATTTGAATGGGTCATGTTGAAGTTTATGGAAAACTCCAACATTTCACTTAAATGGCATTTTGGTCATTTTGACCCCTAGCCGACTAGGGGTCAAAGTGGGTCCACCAAAATGTACTTTATTACTCAATATATAATTATCAAGGGTCTGGATGTAGTTAGAGGCTTTGGAGAATGTTCCAAGATTAAATTCCACTATGGTACAGGTATAGTGGCATAGGCCGTAAATATTTGAAGGTTTTATAGTCTTTAGATTTAAATCCAATGTGTGGGATTAGAGGTCTCAGATTAAGCTCAAATTTGGAGGGTAGACATTAGGTACATGCCTAATCAATATGTAATTGATAGATCATGAATCAGGGGTCATTTGTCTAGGGTTTGAAGTGCTTGAATAATCACTAAAAAGAGGCTTTTAGGACCTATGCCTTTAACCTTGGATTTTGATATGGATTTTTTAGTTTGGTCTGGATTTTGAATTTAGATGCTTGAATTTGAATTATATAAATCATTGACAATCAATTGAATGATTGTTAGTGATTGGAATAAGATTGAAGTTTGATAGGAAGCTGGATTAACTAAAGTCTAGGTTGAGTTTGAATGGAGTTGAAATTTGGATATGTTTGAAGTCCTAGTGATATCATACAAAAATGAGGTTAACAAAGTCATTTTGCACCCCCAGAATGACCCTCTAGGGTCATCTGTGACTTGATCATTATGTATTATAAAAAAAAATCATATGTTTGTGTATTTTATAGTTGTTATTCACATTTTAATTCATTTGTAGTGAAATGTCAAATTCTTATTTTTCATAAAAATACTAAAAAAAACATTCTTCTAAGTTAATTAGAATGAATAAGATGAAACAACTACTAATAATTATGAAAAATTTTATAATATACCAAGAAATATGCATATTTATGATAATACACCATCAAAATCCCTTATAAATTTGGATATATCGTCAACACAAACTCAATAATTGTCATCTGACGAGCATGGCTCCACCCAAAATAGCCCACTTTCATCACTGATTTCCTATCACAACTGTTTAAAGCCAACTATATGATTAATTATTCTGTGCAGGCCCCGGACAGTGTCCGGGGACTAATGAGAGCGTGCCACATCACTTTTTTGTTGTGTACTGGGTGATATTGCACTCTCATTCGTCTCCAGATGGTCCAGTGTACGAATAGAATAATTTCTCCAACTTTACATGTCCCATTTGGTTATTGAAGAAAATATATATTACCAAGCAACAAACTTACTAAATTTAGCTATTCAATTGAATGTATTTAAAAAGAAATATTAATTCTAAAAATCATTAAGAGAAGAAAGATGCTAAATAGTTAAAATACCTATTTTATTAAGAAAAAAAAAATAGAGTGAAGACATAGGTCTACCCATGCCTCTAATGATGAAATGATATTCTGATAAACAACTTATTTGTAAAACAAATTATGCTGATATAATAGGCTTAAAAATTATAGTATTCATTTTAAGACTAATATTATATATTATATTAATCACAAAATAAATTTAATGATTTTCAAGCCAACTCTAATATAAGCTTCATTTTGAACAGCTTTCTTATTACTTTTTAAAGCAGTTTTCTAATTAAAATTTTTCAAGTTGAAAAAAAATTTAACACTAAAATATTATTTTATAAAACATTAAAAAAACTGTGGAAAATAAAATCATAATTTATATCATGATTTTCTGCTTCACCAACTTTGACACATTAAATGCAACTTCATATGAACAGTTAATTAGAAATCATCTTCTATTAGCACAGATTGGTAGGAGAGAAATGTATGTAGATTTGTAAAATCATTACTTCTTATTAATTACTATAGTAAGACAGATTATATTTAGTATTTAAAGAGCGATCATACTCGTCTTTTTTTTTCGATTGATATTTTCATGATCAGCAAAATGAAATAAAGTGCCGCTATTTTGATCGAGAATATAGACAAATTATCTTTGTTTATCATACAACCATTGTTTAAGAGGCTCGAGCCCTAAAATTTTCTAAGAAATTACACGAAATTTGACTTGATCGAAACTCGACTTCATATCAAGTTCAAGCTCCATTCTAAACTTTTTTCAAAATATGCATCTTAATGAATATTTAGATAAAATATACAACACATATAAATAATATATTATAATTAATTTTTACTTTTTAATTCAACTCAAAATCAAATAATTTTTGCATAACTCAACTAAAAAATATTTTCAATTTCTAGTTAGCCAAATTTGGTCAAAATTATTTTTTACTTAAGGGTCTATTTTAGACAGCTGTAGCTTTTTATAAAAGTAATTATAAAGCTGCTATGAAAAAAGTTATTTTTTTAATTTTCTAGCACACAAATTTATTAAAAATTTATAGCCAAATAAAAGATGTACTTACATTCTGAAAAATAAAATAATAAAAAAATTACATCAAACAAAACATGAATCTAAAATTAGTTGTCCATAATATTTTAAAGATTTCAAAATAAAAGATGATGGAAAACAAATTCCAAACCACATGAAACTAATGAAACCAAAAGTTCTACAATGGGAGTGAAGGGTTTAAGAAATTTGCTTAAAACAATAAGTACCCATAAAAAAAGTATTAATGAATCGAGTAAATAAAGATTGTAAAAAATGGAACAATTTAGAACAGGTTGAGGAACCAATTGGATTATAGCAGTATGAGTAGTTTAGTCTTGAAGAAGAGATGTTAGTCCAGCCCCAATGTCTTCTTTTGCCTTTTTATCAAAAGGGTCATCACCAATATAAAGATCCAATATGGATTGGCAGAGAAGTTTGCTTTGGATGCTCCCCACCTCATTTCCATTAACTACAACAACAGCACACAAAAGAACATTAGAATTTGGAAATGCAGCTTTAAAACATTAGAAAATAACAAATAAAAATGAAATTGCCACATTTGCCTGATTCTCAGAAAGATAAAGACCTTTTATAACATGTGAATTTGACAAAAAACTACTATTTTTTATGGTTTTTGTTTATGGAGGAATAGATCTATATGACCTAAAATCACAAGTTGAAATGCCGCTCCATGATACAAATCATGCAGATGAAAAGAACTTCTGAATCTCAAATCATGTCTAAAAAAATAACTAAAGTTTTGTTTGGGACGGGCTTTGTTACTACTTCTGGAAAACTGTTTAAGTAACAAGAAGAAAGCCATCTCAAATGAAGCCTGGGACGGCTTTCTTACTACTGCTTAAAGCAGCTTTCTATTATAAACATTTTAATTTTTATGCTAAAAAGTTATTTTAAGAAGTAGTAAAAAAGCCATCCCAAACAAAGCCTAAATCAACAAATTAAGGCTTCGTTTAGGACAGCTTTGTTACTGCTTCTTAAAATGACTTTCTAGTACAAAAACTAAAATTTTTGTACTAAAAAACTAATTTATGAAGTAGTAAGAAAATCGTCTCAAACGAAACCTAAGCCACGTATTCAACCAGTGATATTACTCTTTCTCAGATTAGTTAGCTTGTCCAAAAACAATCCTGATTCATATGTCATATTTCTCTATGAGAACATCCATTCATCACAACTATCAGATGTCATAGTTTTTTTTTTTTAATAATTAATTGCCAATAGAAAATACATATTTCATTCATTAAAGGAATAAAAAGTATTTAAACTTTGTAGAGACTTCATTTTGAAATGAAGCTTCCTCATTGATGGATTGGATAGATACCAGTGCAATCTGATCTTTGCATTTGTTTTTCCCTCACCTTTTTTTCTATTGTACCAAGTACAATAATTTCTATATAATAAAAACGTTTTGATATGAAGCTTTGTCATGCCATCTACTTTTTTATAGTTGTATTTCTCTCCCCACTCTTTCCCTTACTACATAGTATAAGGCTATAGATATACTTAATGGAGATTATGACTGACTTTAGTACTTTCAAAATGATCAAAGTACTCATAGGCATCACTCTATCTCAAAGAGCTCAAGTTCTACGGATTTCTAGAACTTGGATACGCAAAAACTTCAATTGTGTCTGGATTCCTAACTTCCAACGGATGGAGTCTATGTACCAGTCAGGCATTCCCTTCTGAAGACCAAGTCAGGAGTGGTCCGGGCTTAGAAAGGAAACATATGATTTAAGCATAAAAAAAGCTGCTGAGAGTTTTTTTTTTCACTTTTGAAAAAGTTAGACAATAATTTTCTTATAGCCACCATGCTCTAACAAATCTAATTCTAAAAAGCTGCTTCTTACAATAAAAATGTATGAAAAGTAGCAAAAAAAAACTAGCCAAACAGATATCTTAAAAGCAAAGCAATAAAAAAAAAAACAGACCTATATATTCCTACATAAAATGCTAGATGCAAAGAAAAGCAATAAAAATACAACACTAACAAAAAAATAATTAGCAAGGTTTGCAAGAGGATAGGGAGTGAAATTATCCATGAAATGCCATGAATGCAGCATTTTCGCTGAAATAATTAAATAAAACACTTCAGAAGATGTAAATCAAGAGTTCTGACATGCCATGGGAGGAATCTAGTATAGATTATTGTTGGATCTAACTACAAGCGATAGAAAATTTAATAATCTACGGTTAAAGTGAAGATGATATGACAATTTCAAGCACAAGAATTATAAAAAAGAAATTCATCTTTGAAATGGCACAGTAAGTCATTCATTTCATATGATATTATTAAGCATAATGATCGCCGACTTAAATATCCTTAACTTAGAAGGATGAGAACAAATAAAAGAGAAGTTGCATGATTCGAAGATAAAAGAAACTCAGGAAAAGGTATAAAATTAGAATGTATCAATGGTCTTATTGGGCAAATTTCATGGCTAGCATCAACCTTGCTTGGTATCAATGATGGTAATATGAAATTATCAACTTTCATAAAAATAAATTGATGCAAGCACACTAGTTAGAAGAGCCAAAACAAGAGAACAATGAACAGAACTTAACCAGACTTGATTCAAATAGTAGCAATCATCAATAACATCCAAAATCCGACGAAGAAAACTAGAAGAGATTTCAAAGAAACAAAGAAAATAAAAACAACGCTATCCTCAGACAACCGTCAGAGCGGTTTCCTCACATGCATCGAAATGTAGGTTAAATAAAATAAGTGCTTAGGGCTAACAAACCGATGGTCCGCCATTGCACGATCGATCCAAACTCTTCCAACAAATGCTCCCAAATCAGCCAACAAACATCACCAAAGCTCAAGAAGAAGGATACAGATGGAGTGGAACTTGCGGAAAGATGAAAGAGGTTAGAAGCCGAGACGAAGGGTGGAAAGAGCTCGCAAGATTTCCAAAGAGAGAAGAAGAAGAGATGGAACAAGCTCGCAAGCTTTTCCAATAACCTGCAGGTCAATAGCAAAATGCTCTCAATATTCAACTTCTCCTTCTTCACAAAACATCTCATATTTATAGGTAAGAAAGGGGAATGCAAATAGTCACTTCAATGAATTTCCACAAGGACCCAAGAATCATAAGTCATGGAATTCCCCCACCTTTTCACGGAAAAACAGCCCAACCAGGGAACCGAAGAAGCAGCCACGGGAATCAAAGAGACCTGCACAGAACTGAGGCGCCAAAAGACACGGAAAGGCCCCCAGCTCGAAAAACCATCAGCCAGCCGAAAAACCAAGGAGCAATGGCACGGAATTCATCCAGCATAGGAAGCCCAAAAACAGCCACGGATTCCCAAGAGACAAGGGAATAATTTAAAGAAGAAAAGGGAAGGAGAAGGGACAAGTCCACTCCAAAATTGAATCCAACTTATGAGCTTACCTTTAGAGCATTACTGAGCTACTAAACTTCAGCTCATCATTAATGAGCTAGCAACTAAGAAAATGAGCTCAACTCCAACCTTCTCCACATATCACCATAGGCCCCAAAACCGTGGACCATAAGCCAACCCGTGAACTAGCAAAAATCAAGGACCAATCGAGCTAGCAAACCAAAGGTCTACCAAGCCCCAAGCACAACCTACCATGTTCATTGGATGCTTTCCCATCATTAGATAGCTAAAAAAAATAAAAGAACATAAAAACATACTAATGTTCAATATAAAATAAAATACAGAATATTTGATAGCATCATAAATTGATCAATGCATTTGGTATAAGTAGAGTCTTTTATAGCATGTTAAGATACCCCAATAACTCACGAGGAAATCAATACTTCAATAGTATACCCAAACCTCAGCTGTTAATGGAGTCTCAAACCCACTCCATAATCTGCTTGTTAAAGGCCCAACATGATCAATCTTGACCGTAACATATGCAGGCCCTACGACCGGGTTCATTGTGGGTCAATGCTATCGCTTCACATTTTGACTATCACTTGAAGCTCTACATCAATGTGGCAAAGCTATTATGTTATATAGGCCATCTCTTGATGATTTAGACAACAAAAAGGTACATTTTAGAAGTGACTTAGGCTTCGTTTGGGACGGCTTTTTTGTTATTTCTTAAAGCAGCTTTTTCGTACAAAAATTTTAATTTAATTTTTGTACAAGAAAGCTGCTTTAAGAAGCAACAAAAGTCGTCCAAAACGAAGCCTTAATCTTCTCAAATTAGAAGCACTATGATGCTGGATCATCATAAATGTCCATATTTGAGCCATTGTGTTTGACTTGCATAAAGTGTTGCAAAATCAATTAAGGTTACGTTTAGGACAGTGATGGGGACATCAGATCATCATGGAAAGTTTACCAGCGACGTGGCCGCCGATCTACGGCCACGATCTAGTCTTTTTATTTTTGAGTCGATGTATTTTATTTTCATGCATTTTATTATTTGCTTATGTGTGTTTTATTATTTCCCGTTGTACCCCTTTTTATGGGAGTTGTCATGTGTAAGCCTAAGGGCATTTGTGTCATTTTATTTGGAGTCTTTTGTATGAGGCTATTTAAAGCCCCCTTTGTATTATTTTGAGGTTAATGAATGATTATGAAGAATTTTTCTGCACTTTTGTTTGAGAGCCTTTGAGAGTTCTTGGAGAGTTTTGGAGAGATCCCTTAGAGAGGGAGATTGGCGTATCACCCACCAACCTTGGAGACGGCTGGGTTCGTGGTTTTATCTTCTTTATCTTGTCATTGCCTCCTCGTCGAGCTTCCAAAACCCTTCCACCCCATCCTCCTCCCCATCACGGCCAAGCACCCTCACCCGACCCTTCACCCCAACGGCCCCATCTCCCTTGCCATCGGCCAAGGCCCTAGCCGCCGGTTTCCCCCCATTCCCCTTTGTTTCCTTTTTTTTAATTTTGTTTCCTAATTTAGATTGGGAGTAAATGGAATAAATTTGAAATTCAAATTCATTCAAATTTGAATTCAAAATACTTCCTAATTGAGCTGTTCTATTTTTGGAAAGTGATTGATTTAAATCTAATTTCGAAAATCAAATTCTTGAGGATTTAAATTAATTATTTCCTAATTTTAAATCTTAAATTAGGAATCCTTAATTGCTCCAATCAATCAACCCATATCCCATGCTTGTCACCGCCCCCATGGTTTTCCCTTATTAATTCATTGCCCAATTATTTCCTAAAACTGCATTCTAGCTTTAGGAAATAATTTCCAAACCCTTGATCCTCTCTTAGCCGAATTCTCCATAGACTCATAACCTCCATACTTATTTCCTATTTCAATTCTTTGGTTTTGGAAATAACGTCCCAGTCACCCCTTGATTGCTGCCGCCCAATCCCCTTACCAGTTCCGCCTCTTCCTCCCAAATTCTCTCCCCCTTTCATCAAACCTCCTCTTGAATTCTCTGCACAGGTTTTCTTCCAATTGGATCTACTTTCTCCTTATTAGAAATCTGTAATTTTTCTAAGGCGTTGGCTACAAAATCTGAAGACCTTATCTGATTCTGGAAGGATTTGGGGTTGCTCCTTCAACACACATTGAAGAGCACGTCTTGTCACTTCGTCCTTGGATTATCTTCAAAAGTACTCACTACCGCGGGAAGATGACAATCATTCATCCCTATGAATGACGGAAGCCATTGACGAGCATTTTGAAGGCATCGAGTGGAGGATCTCCGCGTCTTCTTAGCAGAGGTTTCTTTTCTCACTTGCATCTTATTTCTTTGAAATCTAAATTCTCTTTGGCTTGATTGTAATCGCAAAAGACTCATCCAAGTGCTCTTGCTAAGCCTAGTAATTCGTAGGATATTGAGTGTACTTTCTTTGCATCCTAAATCTCGTTGTTAGACTAGGGATTAAATTGAAGGCTACTATTTTGCATTGTTTCAATTGTCTTATCTATCTTGAAAATTTCAAAGCTTGGAGCATGTGATTTAGCCTACGCAAAGCATCTCTTTATTTGTTTTAGTCGACGTTGATAATTGCTAGTAATTTTAATCCGAACTTATTCTAATTGACGAGTTGTGCAAAGCCTAGGTGAAACTCATAACATTGCATCTAAGTAGTCCTGCATCAGACAGCTTTCTTACTGCTTCTTAAAACAACTTTTTATTATAAAGATTTTAATTTTTGTACTAGAAAGCTTCTTTAAGAAGAAGCAAGAAAGCCGTCCCAAACAAAGCCTAAATATCGTTCAATATTCTACAGCCACTAAGGACTAAGTAACCTGACAGCCAATTGGAGCTTAGAAAGCAATATGTCTCGCATCAAAATGATGTTTCAAAAATACAATCACAACATTGGCCATTTATTTTAGAAAACCTGGGATAAGGTATGTAAATTAATAACTTTTGTTCATAGATGCAGCTACAATCCCTTCTTTGTTGCAAGAAAATTAGGAGAACTTCACTGTTGTTGGAAACTTTTCATGGTTACTAGAGAAACTCTAGGATTTGAACAAACATCTTAAAGATGTGATAAAATTTGCACTATGTTGAGATCAGATTGTCCATGATTATGTGACATTCATGTCAGAGAAATTAAATTCAAATTGAATAACGTAACTTACTTGAAAAAAGACAGGAGAGAGATCATCAATAAAGTAGGAAACTAAATGTGACGTACATACAAGTATTAAAATACTAGGAAAAAAAATTGTAGCCAAAGCTAGCCTAATTAGAAGTTATTCAGTATGATCTATTTAAACTATAAAGTAATGGGCATGCAGTTCTATAAATCAATTACAAGACTCTTGCTGCAGAAAAAAAAATGGCCCCAAAAACTCACTTTTTGTTTGAAGTATGTAGCCTTGTTCTCTTGACAGATCAATAACAGAGCCACGGGGTAGCTTGTATTCATCTTTAAAGAGTGATGTAAACCTGCAAAAAATTGACTTTAAGGAAAGAAATATAAATTTAATGACAAACCATTTCAGTAAAATAAAACAAAGCCAATACAGCTTTCTTTCGTCCATTCATATGGTTTTAATAACTTGGATTTAAAAGAGAAAACGATAAAATAGTCGGATCAAGGAGGGAAAAGGGAATTTAGTGTAACGCAAAAAAAAAAAAAAACAATAAGTGCTGTTGCATGAGCTCCACAAGCTATTATTGACAGGAACAAAATAGAGAATGCTATAACAGCAATGTTTTAAGGACAAGAGTTAAAAATGACTAATCAATTAACAAAGTACGCAGAGAACAGTGGTAGTAGAGGTGCAAACGAGTCAAGTCGAGCTCGAGTCAGGGGGTGTTCGAGCTCAACTCGCGAGTCAAATATCGAGCTCGAACTCGAGTCGATCTCGACTCGCGACTCAAATATCGAGCTTGAACTTGAGTCGAGTTCGACTCGCAACACCATAACGAGCTCGTCGAGCCGCTCGAATTAGATTTCCCGTCCACCATTTTTTGTTTTACCGCCCAGCTGGCTTAGCGTTTTTTGAAACCTTTGCTTTATCCTGTGGATAAAAAAAGCTTGCTAGAGTTTTTTTTTTTGGATACTTTTTTTTTTTGGGAATTTTTTATTTTTTATTTTTTTTGGATACTCACAAACCCTTGCAGCTTTAATATAAATTAAAAAGGTGTCCTGCGTTTTTCCACTGGATGAAACAACTACTTTAATATTATAAATTTGCAACCTGTTGCACTCTAGGCTATAGGGGCAGCTTTAACATTCTTTTTGAAAAACTAACTACAGCTTTTTTTTAAAAAAAATTATATTTAATAAAAATAGTAATTTTTTTTTTAAATCCTAAAAATTATTCGAACCGGTTCGCGAGCTCACGAGCCGAGCCTCATCAAGCTCAAACTCGAGCTCGTTTAGTAAACGAGCTCGAGCTCGACTCATGAGCTTGATAAGTTTGGCTCGCGAGTTGATAAATGAGTCGAACTCGAGTCGGCTCGGCTCACTTACACCCCTAAGTGGTGGTGAGAATTCAATGGCTTTCCAAACTTTAACCACAACATAAGACAAAATTCAATAAGTGCATAAAATCTTCTTAAGGTTAAGCACCATGAATTGGTTAAAAACTCTTGCCAGTCTATATTTTGATAAATCACATAATATCAACATCCACCAAGCATCTTCAACCTTGCTTTCAAAGAAGTTTCAAAAGCCTCAAGCACATTAATTCAGAGTTAAGTGTCAAACAAAGCATATGCAAATGGGTCTTAATTTTATACTTCTTTCAGTTTCAGCTAGTCAACTTAAATATGGTATGTCTTAAAGATTGGATTATAGCAAGTGCAGCTCCATAAATACATTGCAACTGATTGCACCAACATGGAAAATGGAAAAAAATGCTGCTTCTCAAGGTTTATACTGCTTGCATCAGCTGTAATGCCACTATAAGAGGGCTTTTGGTCGACACCTGTCGGATGAGTTTAGCGCGAGTTTGAGCTCCTTCATTTTAGAAATTCACCAAGAGCAGTCAACCCGACCCTGACACCAGTATTGAGGTCAACAGTTCCCCAATAAGTTTGATCACTCAAAATTTGCAAACTAGCACAACTTTCATTCAAGATACACAAGGGATCAAATTTGTCACTTGGATTACCAAAGAGACCGAAATAGCCATAGGGATTGCCACGGAGTCTGAACAAAACTTGAAAAGCGATTGAAGATAACATAAATAAACATCTCATGTAGAAGGTGCCGTCATAGAAACCTCATTCAAGATTGCTGCAAGAACCTCATCCACAAGTCTGATACAATGATCAAGCCGAACAACTCAAGTAACCAGATAATAACAAAACATAATTATGCATAGGATCAAAAAATCAATAATAAAACCAATCCAACCAGTTAACCAACCCAAAGAAGCAACCCAAGCTAAAGAAAATTATAATGTATGAGAATAAATCTCGTCCACATAGGCAATATTAACCTTAAAAATGATATCAGAAAAACCAAAGATAATACTATGAAATAAATAAAATAGTAAATCTAGACAAAAACCCTGCTCATATCATTTAAGTGCTCAACCTTTCTAATGAGTGTGGACTTGCAGATCCCCATCAATAATGTAAAATACTGATAAAAAACTAAGAAGCGCATGAGGAGAAAGGTAGAGGACCAAAACCTATGGTCAAAGTAAGCAGCTAGAGCAAGAAGTTTTGTATGTTTAGTTGTATGGAGATGTCACTTAAACAATGAATCTCTCTTAACAATATAACATCGCATTACACAGGAGAGTGAGCCAAACAGGGCCTTAAACCACTTTGTCTTACTACATTATTATTGTGATGTTAAAACCTGCAGTACAAAATTAGTATACGTTATTTTTCATTCAAACAGAATTGGTTAAGCGACACAATTCTACAATCATATAGTGTAGTCTTTCCCCGTATTCTTCTCGTTGCATAATAAACTGTGATGTTGCCATGACAATGGATAAAATCACGAAAAACAGAAATGAATAAATACCTTTTAAGTAGCTCCTTGTTATCTGAACCACTAAACTTTTTAAGCCGGTTGCCCACAGACTCTTCAAAGGCGCTACGCACAGAGCCAATGGTTAATCTTCCATATACAATTTGGAGCCTAACTGTCATCCTTAAGTCCTGATCCAAAACATCTGCGAAGAATTCTTTGCTTCCTCTAACTTCAGACTCAGAAAGAGCTCCATACTTCTCTCTCAATTTCTTTACATCATTGACTTCAGCATATACACCTGCACACACGACAAGTACACCAACAAGCAGCGCAGAATAAAACCAAAATTATTACACAGTAAAAAGGGAAAGCAACCAATTTAGGAGGATGTTTAATTCAATGTTAAATAGATAACAATTTCATATAGTTAATAGTGCTATTTAGCAAACAATATTACTCAAACAATAAGTATTTTGATTCAATGTCACCTTACTTAAACAATGTTATGTTATCTAGAAAGATTATTAATGATCATAATTTCCATTTTTTTGGCTTTATCTATCTCAGAGCTTGCATCTAAATGTCATAAGAATAGGGCTTAATACACCATTTATGAAACTACTATTAATTAGAATTTTCAGTGCACCATATAACTGACATCTACAAATGATATAATATTACATAGTTCATGAATGATAAAAAAAATTAAAACATGACAATAAATTGATCGTCCAATCAAGATTCAAGACATATGTTCAACATTGACGATGAGATTAATTATCATTTTTTTCTTTATTAGTGATAATTGTACTAGGACTATCTGATGTTTTCTCTACTATATAAAAATGCTTATTTAAGGTTCTTTTTAATTAGTCTTTAAGGCTCTTTTTTTCAATAAATAAGACCCAAAGGTTTATCAAGTGATTTTTTTTATCATTTCCCATAACTCCTCTCTTCTCCTCCCCCCAAGTTTCTCAACAATCCCCCACCTCCTCCCTCTCTCGATATCCCTCTCTCTCCTAATCTCTCTTTCGTTCTCCTCTCCTTTTTTTTATATTGAGTGAGTTAAATTGTAAACTCGCACGCAACGTATATATAAAAATCGAACCCAAGATCATTTCATTGGCAACCTATGCTCCCAACCAACAAGTCAAGATGAACGATATTTCTCTCCCCTCTCTACTGTTTTCCTCTTTCAATCACACTTTTTGTTTCTCAAAAAATCTCTTTCCAATTTTCCTCTTAGCTTTTTTTCCTCTCATTTTATCCAACTACCGCAACTTTATCCTGAGTCTTCACACTAGTTTTTTTTTCTCCTCTTATCCTCTTTTCTGCTATCCTTTTTTCTCTATCAAATTTCCCATTCTTACTATTCCTTATTCTTTCCTAAAACCTAGCAAAAGCCTATCAAATAGCCCTTAAATTATCCCAGATTTTCAACAAATCCATGCCTACATGTCCATCATTACATCTAAACTAAACAAAGCATCCTTTCAACACTTTATTCAAAATTTTAAATTTGCTGCAATCCAAAAAAGCCAAACTTAAATAAGTTTCATAACACTATAATTGCTTCCCTCATTTACACTATTAAGAACTCTTGATTTCCAACTCCATGCTACACCAATTTGGGTCTTAGAATGAGGTATAATCATTCGAGCTAGTTCCTCATGAAAGCATTTCCTTCTTCCTCTTCCTCTAATGTGATTTTTGCATTAACACTATTTTTTAGTGCCTCTGATTGGACGTCCTAGCTGAAAATAATCATATAACACCCTAAAACAGCCTTTAGCTATCAGAAATATCACTGACAACCTCTTTAGGTTGCCAAGTACAATGATGGCCCCTCCCGAACTACTTCACCGCATCGTCCACTTGTTGCAACTTATCTTTGGAGTGAAAAATGGGTGACCCATGCAGCACCTCCGTATTGTCCACAGCAGATAATTGGCATTGTTAAGATGTTTGGTGTGACATTGATGTCCTTCCAAGCTAAGAAGCTTCCTGATTGCATCACATAGAATGTTAGGATTTATCAAAGGAGAATTTATGGCTCTGAAAGGTATAATCCTTGCCTAGGATTTATGTTGATTGACAAATCTTCTGTCATTCTAAGGAACTATGTCTAGGAAATTCCATGTATCTATGAGTTACGTGTCCATTGCAAATTTATCCTTGCTTTAATAAGCCAGAGTTAATTATCTCCACTTCATATCGAGAGTGAGGGATAGATTAAATCTTGCTTGTTACAAACCACATATACAAACAAAATTTAATTTACTATTATCCTAACACTTGCATGAACTGAACAATGAAATTTGATACTTGCATGTATTAAAATTCTATTTTCAGCACAATAATTTGTTTTTATCACTCCATTTAGGTAAAACATCCTGCTAGCTGCATCTTTTCATGTCTAGCATATTTTTTTATCATCTCATTTAATATAGATAGTTTCATTGCATTATGGGGCTTCACAAAAAGCAATTTAGCTTGGATCCAAGATTAGAATCAATAAATGCAACATGTAACAAAATTATGGCTAAATTTGATGAACTTAGTTATCAAATTGATTCTCTAAAATCAAACTAACAATAACTAGAAAGAAAAAACTCATGGGGCAGATCTAATTTCTCAGCAGAAGCACCAAAAAAATATGAACAACAAAAATCAGATCACCAATAGGGAAGCATTGTGTGGTCGGCGAGGCATCTAAAGGTCCTAAAGAGAGGATGACAAAGGTGAGCCTTCAGATTGAGATAATTTCTGACTCAAGGGAAGAAGATGAGGAGTAAAGATAACACCAATGAAAGATTCCTGGGGTAGAATCAGGTAGCTTTGGAATGTTCAATGCCCCTAGAGCAGGAGAGGGAAGAGGAGGAAAAAGAAGAAGATATATAGAGGAGAGGGAAGAGGAGGAAAAAGAAGAAGATATATAAAGGCGAGGGATTTATGTGGTTTGACCTTATAGCCTATGCCAAAAGTATAGTGACGGGGAATCATCAACTATGAAAAGGAAAAATAATACAAAATACAAGAAAAGTTCACCTTAACCGATGGCAAAAGCTAATGTGTTGGAGACATAATAGAGGGAAGATAAGCATAATTAAAATTTACATAAGTTTAGACTCAACAATTATCTATTGAATCCTCTACATAGTCCAAGATATTTTTATATTAAAAAGGTGGGCTTTGAATTATCTGCAAAAGGAGACATTGCAACCTCATGAGATTAATGTGATGTCCTTTTCACCTTTTGGTAGTTGGTAGCTATGTACAAAGGACATGTGACATCCCCTAGTTAGGGCCACACAATATATGATCTAACAAGCTCAATAGCGGAAGTTGACATGCCAAAAAGCTAACATTGATGGCTTGAAAAGCCTGGATAAAACGATCAAATGGAAATTATCGATAAGACCCATTGATTAGGAAACTAATAAGTGTTGAGATGATCAAATTAGCAACAGATGATGGCCGACCCAAAGCTAGTTGGTATAATGTTGTAAGCAATTGATAATTGAAGAACTAACGGGCACCACTTGCAATGTTGATTGGATGAGAAGATGTTGGCTGTTGGGTTCTCAACAATGGAGCCAATCAGTTGAGTAAGATAGTCAATAGATCCCAACGAAAGATGGGATCCGAGCGAATCATACATCTGAAAGGCAATAGGAAAAATTCCTCCATTTATAAATCTCTTATTTTATAAAAAATATAGAAAGTATCGAGACTACTATAATACAGTTTATGAGAATGTTAAGAACAATGTTGATTTTTCGAGTCTATTCAACCAACAACTACATTAGTGTTACTTAAGGTATATTTTCTCATAAATTTCAAATCCCAAGAGATACAACATACACTAATATCTTAAATCCACTAGCAAAAAAGGGACTGACCACACTAGAGAAAATATAAGTCCATAAGCTCCTTTATGATAGAAATATAGAAGAAGATTTTTCATTGACAGGCAATTTCATAATTTAACTTATACTTGAATTTGAATTGAATCTAATATTAAACCTAAATATGTGGTTGTGCAACACTTCCACTCAAACTTGAATTTTCTTGTGGTCAGAACAAAACTCCAAACTTGAGCATAAAACTAGAAAAAAACTGAGATTGATCATCTCAACTTGCTAAAGTAGTTAATTTATGGATCCCTTCTCAACCTCTAACTCTTGAGGAATGATATATTATAATTGATCAACTACATGATAATCAAACATTGACTTTATATTTGGTTCTATGTTTTTACATATATATGAAATTCAAAGAAGAATCATCAAAAGAATGCTAAATAAGAAGAATCATCAAAAGAATGCTAAATAAGAACTGCATATTTAAGTTTATGTTAATAGGTTCCATCATGAAAGTTGGGGCTCAAAGAAGCTTTCAACACTAAAGATAGATTGATCATGTTGCCTAATAATTACTCAAGTGCATTGTACTTTGACAAAGTAGTTGGCATTCCTATAATTCCTATTTTTTTATGGAGCCTACTATTATTGTCGGAAGATATCATAAGTTTTTAACTTTTTCCCCTAATAAACTTGTCCCTCAATACACTCCCCATAAAATTTATGGATTTTGCTTCAATATTACTATATGCTACATATGTTTGGAATCATTATGATGATCATTATGTTTGATTTCAGGTCTGTCCTGTATGTTTTTTGTATTCAACCTGCAATACGTTACCTACCCAAGCCTCAAATATATTTTTTGAAAGCTAATTCCTACTATGCTCATACTTACTTTGTCTTTCAAAATGAATGTTAGTCATATTTTCTCAATTGAGGATTTGTTATCCTATAGAAGTAAATTTGAGCCACCAAATTTATCTGCAATTGGAATTTCAACATTCCTTCAGCAACACGAATTCCAGTTCTTTCAATAATTCCAGTTTTATTAGATGTTAATCAAATTCTACTTATGAGGTTATTTGGGCGACAACTCATTTCTCCCAGTAAATTGGCTACAGCACAGTCGCCTCCCCTCTACACCAACAACTCTTGTTGTCCACATTACATCATACATAGCTTCAAATATGAGCGAATTGAACATCCCCGAAATAACATTTATAAGATCCCTTAGTTGAGCAGCCAAAATTACAATAGTTACAGTCTCTGATCCACTATTAACATATCAAACAAACATTCAGTTGGCCAATTAAAACAGCTTCCAAGAAGAAAATTCTGGCTAATAAGTCCTAAAGGTTGTAAAATCTTAGAACGAATTCCACTCCTCTCTGAACTTCAGAGAAATCGTCCAAAACAGGGAATCTCAATCCCTCATTATGTCTACGAGGGAGATAGGGAATAAGAAGATACGTTCTTACCAAAAGCATAGACGTCAATGCTCTTCAGGCCAAAGACATTTTTTTTCCGCAACCCGATTCCCAGTAGGCGACGGGCGCCGTCAACGACGCTTGGGAAAAGTACCCCCGTCTTGGGTTCGACAGCCGTGCCTGAAGATTCAGCGAGGGCTATCGATGCCGAGAGAGAAGCAGCAGAATTAGATGGAATGTGGTAGGAAGGGTCTCCAATCTCCTTGGAAGAGTTGGGCGACATAGCAAGGGCAACCCCGATTCCGGCGGTGGCACCGGCAATAGTAGCGGCGGTGGCGGCCACGAAGGCCGGCGAGAAGTGAAATGAGGAAGAATTGGCAAGGTGAGCTGACCGACGGCCCGGCCGTTGAGGAAAGGGGAAAGGAAAGCGGAGAGAAACCATGTAGTCTATTGAAAAAAGTACGAAGCGGAAGACGACACAGCTTTTTGACCGATTTACTATGATATAATTATAACTTTAGCCGTAATTAATTTTTAAAATTATTTTTATTTTAAAATTAATATTATACTTGAAATTTTTGTGTATTATGTCTAAAAATAATAATTTTATCAATGAATTTTGATGTAATATAATATTAAAAAAATTTATATTGAATTTAGAGGTGCCTAAAATCTAATTTCAACAAATTTATAAAAAGACAAACTCTAAGATACTATAAGTTATTTAATTTAAGTTCAAATGAGCTCAAATCATGTAATTTAAATATAGCTGAAAACTTCATAACAATAACTAAATGATCAATGATATAAAAATTTTGCATTCTTATAGTCAAATCGAGCTTCTCAAAAAAAGCTCAAAGTTACTAGATTATGATCAGATCATTAAGGCACGTATATACTAAATGAACGATCAATGATCAAATGATTCAGTATAAGTTATTCAATGAAATGTTATAGAAATTTAGTTGAATTTAACAAATCGTCATTCCCAAAATATTATAAAGAGACCCACATTTTTATATGAAAGAGGTATATATTTGAGTTTGGAGATATCCTTAAATTCTGAAGAGCTATTGAACTCAACTTATGTCACGACCCAACCCGATCGGTACGGATCCTGCTCGCATCGGGTCGCGACACAGCCTTTGAAAATCCAGGATCTGGTTTTGGAATTTGCTTCTGACTTTCTTCCAGAGATTAAATAGACAGAAAAACACAGAGCTACTATAAACATCCAAATACAGCGCAGTTCATCTATCTTTTCTTTTCTCAAAATAATCATATACAGATACAGTGCATGGCTTACAGACAGAAAGAACAGATAAGCCATGACTGTACAAAAATCAAAAGTACAAAATACCTAATCACAGGTCAGACTCTGGACCGCTAAACCACAACTTCCTTCCCTTTCCCAGAACCTGAAAACCACGTAGAAAATAAGGATGAGCTAACAGCTCAGCAAGACATCAATCACCAATCAAAATCGTCAGAAATGCCCATTAGAAATAGTCGTACGAAACACAAAAAACAGACACTTGTTCAAACATAAATCAACAACAAATACAGAAAACTGAAGTCATGTCGAATCGGAGTTCAGAACAGATATCATAAAGCTTTCAAGTCATAGAATAGATAGAATCGTACGGAATAACCAGAATCGTGCATATATCGGATGATTCATAAAACATATCAGATAAGTCACATAACATATTTCAGATATCAAACATCATATTTCGGATAACATATAACATATCAGATTTCAGATTCCCAGACCCTTACAGAATCTCGACGGATTCTGGCCCCTTATGTCTCCCTTCCCTGACACTTACAGAATCTCGACAGATTCTGACCCCTTATAACTTCCTTCCCAGACACTTACAGAATCTCTATGGATTCTGGCCCATTATAACTTTCTTTTGATAGCACACAAACACTTTAATTCATTCAAGAACTCAATTCAGAAAAATTAGAATTCGTACGAAATTTCAGCGGCATAACGGCAGTATACGGAATTTACACAAAACTCACAGATTTAGAAATTTACCAAATTACCACAGAACATTCACAACAACATTGTAAGACTTTCCTTGTAGTGACAAAATATTTTCCAACATCCTGATAATTTGCAGTTCACTTAAAACACTGCAGAATACAAAATATCCGGTAAAAATCTTCCAGAAAATACTCAAAACGTGCGCAATTATCATCTCAAAGACATACCAAAAGTTACGCTGTAAAACCTTTGTCAAAAGAAAATAATACCCGAAATTCGCTAACGGAAACAAAATTCAAAACAGAAAACTCGTCAAAATTCTCATTTCTGAAAATTGAGAAAGGCGGAATGTGTCTTACCTCGAGTCGGTCAACTTCTCTAACTACAGCAACGGACGAAAAAGGACCGGAGTCGCCCAAAAATCACTTTTCCTTTCTTTTCCTTCGATTTTCTCTCTCCTGGGCTTTTCTCTCTCTTCAAAATATCTCATTTCTATATATATCCAGACGGATCGTCCCGGACGATCGCAACTTCGTCCCAAGACGATTTGGCTCTGGACAAATTTCGTTCAAACGAAATTAATTATCGTCCCTGGACGATTTGGCTCTGGAAAAATTTCGTACAGACAATCAAAATATCGTCCAGACGAACTGCTCAGTCTCCAAAATTTTAGCACAACCTGTACCGATCGTCCCGGGACGATCCAACTTCGTCCCGGACGATACTGGGAGAAAAATGATCTTTACAACTTAAGGTTTGAAGCAAAAAATCATCGCCAGTCACCATTGTCAGCTAACTAATATCATATGACTACTTTCTCATGATCATTGTTGTCTTACCAACATCATTTGGCCGACATAATCATTCATCATTATCCAATTGTCATCATCTAAACAATGTCATCAAATCATAATCGCCCAATTATCATCATCTTGCCAGTGATGCGATCATCATCATTCAACTAACACCATCTATTTATTAGATTTCTGGTATTATCTCTCATGTACACACAAAATACAAAAATTTATTTTATACTTTATAATATCATCTTTTTTCAATTGAGAGTAAGAGCAAATTCTTGTGACTTATCATTAGTCCATCATTTTATTTACATCCTATGATTTTTCACTTTTTTGAGTTTTTCTTCTAAAAATTAAAGTGTGTGCTACAATATTCTTTTATTTATTTTATGTGTGCATTGGATAGGGGTGTAAGTGAGCCGAGCCGGCTCACCAGTCACCTCAAGCTCGGCTCTTTAATGGGCTCGCGAGTCGAGCTCAAGCCCAAACTCGAGCTCGATGAGGCTCAGCTCATGAGCTGGCTAGAATTACTATTTTAATTTTTTTAATTATTAATTTTTTATTACATTTAAAAGTTATTAAAAAATTAAGTCCAAAATTTAAATGCTACCCGATTTTCCACCTATTTTAGTTAATGAAATAAGTCTCAAATGTCAATGTTAATAAATGTCATTAAATGCTTGTAGCTTTACTTATTATCAAACAGAAATCTTTTATATCATCATAGGATATAAAATATGAATATTTTATTCATCATAGGATATACTTTGAGATTTGCAAATTAAAAAAAGTTTTCAGTCGGTCTGGGCTTTCTTCGAGATGGCAGTTGTGGGAGAACTGGGCAGGAAAATCTGTGTGAAAACCGGGAGGAAAAATTAAAAAAGGCGGGGCGAAATTGATGCAGGCGAGCAATCGAATACACTTTCGGACTGACAAACTGAGCTCGATAGTGTCAAAATTTGGCTCGACTCGGCTCGACTCGTTTACACCCCTAGCACTGGATCATCGTGAAAAGCTAAAATGTAAAAATTATTTGTCCATCACCGCTATTTTTTTAGCACCAACAATACTTACGTTAAAATAAATTAAACAATTTTTAGATTTATCATTATAAAAAATTATATGGGCAAATCAATTTTTTTTCCATTATTACGTGGCTATGATTTTTTTTATTGGAAATCATTATAATAAAAAATGTGTTTAAGGAAATAAATGTATATGTTCCAAAACAATAAAAATTAAATAAATGTGTCCGCTATTTCATTTATTAAAGAAATATGATCAAAAAAAAATTTCATCAAAATAGCATTATCTTTTAATAAATGGAGTCAAAACTATCGCTAAAGATTCATGCAACGTTTTGATCCTAAGAACTCCTTGAACCTTCTTTATTTCATCACCTTCTCCCTTTCTGGTGATATTTTTAGTTTGTCGTTTACAATTAAAAATAGGCACTTTTACAATTAAAAGTAGGCTTGGCACTATAAATCATAAACCCTTTTGTTGTTAGACTTTAATTTATATGGTAGTTGTCATATTAGAGGAAGATCGCGTTTATCATTAAAATAATTTAGCAATATGTTATATATTATAGCCTTATTCAAATAATAATTGAACACATAATCGAACCTATCTTTGATCTTCAATGATCATGTCAGACTAACTTTGAAGAAGGTTTAATCAAACGTCCAAATAAGCTTTAAATAAGCTTGAATAAGTTTATAATGCATTGAAGTTTATTCAAATATTGCTAAACCATGGTTTTAAGATGTTACAAAGATTCGTCAAATGGGTCAATGATTTTGACCGTACAAACGAGTCAATTATGTTTTGAATGGTTCAACTACTATCAAAGATGATTTGATCATTATCCAAGATTATTTAATCATTATCGAATATGTCATAAATTAAAATCATTTCATTCTTTCAACAATTATATTCCATTTGTTGGGATTCTTGGAGAAAAAATCTCTTCTTTGAATCTCGAGGGAGAGAAGGGAGAGGGGAGAGAGAGAGCAGCTCTTGGAGAAGAAAAAAACAAAGCTTAATTCTTATTCAATTCAGCATTTGGGAGTAACTCTAATAGAGCCTCATACAACTTAATTATAGAAAAAAATTAGGAGATAAAAATTCCTAACCAAAACCTAAACTAACACTCAAGTCTGGATCAAATATTAATAACCTCCATCTTCAACTAGATTTACAATGCCTAAAAAAAAAAATAGAGAGATCTCCTTGCATCTTTGCTTGAACCTTGAGCTGGTTTCACAGCAGGCTTTGCCTTCACATCCTTAACCTAGACTTGTCGCTCCACCAGCTTCCATCAAGAACTGTGCCTAGGAAATGGCCCGCATGCTTTCCCCCGTGCAACCCTCAGCCCCTGATATACAGTTATACACCACGCACAACACCTACCCCTGCCCTGCACACCTCCCACGATTCGCAAATTCGACATCCAGCATGATCCTATTTCGGGCTCTGAATTTTACAACCCAGCCTCAGACTTGACTTGAGCCTGCACAACCTTGCCTCCCACCTCCGTGCATCTCCTGTGCTCAACTAAGCGGTACTCCTGCGCCCACGCACAATCGCACCCACACATAAGCGAGCGTTCACCAAGCACACACATCTATTGACCAGCCTCTGACTGTCACAATATTGCAGTTCGCCTAATTGTCACGATGCATCCTCTTCCACTACAACTCGTGGATGTGAGCCCTCGCCTCAACAAGATCACATAGCTTCGACCCTGTATAAACTTTCCTAGTTCCCGCGTGTGCCTTTTTTCTGCATGCGTTCACCACTCTAGCCGAACACCTGCCCACACATGATCTATGGTCGCCATTCCTGGCTCCTACACGTGACTGCGCTTCACGACATCGACCCGGTCGATCGTGACACCCCCGTTTGTGACACACGCACCCCTTGCGCTTAACTCATTCTCCTACGACTCGACCTCCTTTGCTCTTATGCATTCGTTCCCTGGGACACCCACACGAAATTGGCCCAATCCACCTGCATCTCTGCTCCTGCTCTCTTTGTTGAATACAAGAAGCAGTTCTTCCTTCTCCTTGATCTTTTCTACCTTTCTATGATACCAATTTGTTTGGATTCTTGGAGGAAAAAAAACTATTCTTTGAATCTTGAGGGAGAGAGGGGATGGAGAGAGTAGCTCTTGGAGAAGGAAAAATATATTTGAGTGTGCACCGCTTATGTTCCAAATCTTAGGTGAGCATATACTGGGTGCATCTAGAAGATTACCTGGTAGCGTTGCGGTGTTAGGAAAGCGAGCTTCGCGACTCTAGGTCAAGTTGGTGGATTTTAAATAATAAACATATCTAAATCCATTTTGCATGAACCCATTCCCATCCAACCATGTCAGAGAAGGAAGAGCATGAGGAAGAGAAAAAAGAAAGAGAAAGAGATGAAGAGAATTTTGAGAACAAATTCAGGGATTCATTAGTTGTGTCAGTTTAGAATATTGTTGAGCTCGAGGTAGACTCTTAAACCCTTTATTTTTGATTCCAATTTCAGTAAGTCTATCAAAAGATATGAACAAAAATATATTTTTCTTGAGTTTTATGAGATTTTCATAGTGTGATTTTTAGTATGTTATTGCATTCCCTCTTATGACATTTTGATTATATGAAATCAAGTTTTTAACCGTTTATTTTTCTTGTACAATTTTTTTAATATACTATTAAATTGTGACTTTTCTAGCAAAGACAATAATCATATAAAAGGTTAAAAATGTTCATCTGAATGCTTTCTAAAGCTAGAAATTTAAAAGGAAAAGTTTTGTGAATATCATATTTTACAAGAAATGTAACATTTTATTAGCAAATCTTGTATCATCTGCACATTACATTATATGTTTAAGTTAATTGTTATTACATTGCAATTGCATTATGCATTATATTGCATTGGAGAAGTTCTGTCCTGATGTGGGGGCAAAGTGCATTATTTATTATGATATAAGGGCAATAAATGTATTTTTTGACCGTATCTGCATGATGCAAATGAGGGAGGGGTTTTGGCTGAACTTGCTGGAAACATATGTGGAAGCTTCAGTAATATTCCAAATTATCTTCTGGCCTCATCTATATGTGTAGATGAGGGAGAGATTATTGCCCCACATGCTATACAAGCGGGGGACATTAAAGGAGGTACAAGTGAAAATGAGATATAAACAGACATTACGACATGTGCATTATAATCATTTTATTTCATGTGTTCATGTGAATTTATTGAGTTTAAGAAACGCTCTTAATAAAGCATTAGCAAATTTTGAATCTCTAAATGAGTTCTAATGACAAGTGAAAGTAAACTTCCAAGACTGAGTATTATGTACTATATCTAGGAATGTTCTATGAAAGTGGCATTATAACAACAAGTGATATCTCTGTATGTTCAATATGTGCTGAAATCTAGGTAATTCATATTGTGTTTATTGAAATTCTAAAATGCTTACATTTTATTTTTTTAATTAAATGATATTTAAATATTTGATGCTTGTATGGGGTAAGGGAAGGAGTTTACTAAGCTAGTTGAGATTACTCTATTATATTAATTGTTTTAGGAAAATGGAAAATTCCTACCAAGTATATCAAGTGTAGAGGGAGAGTTTTGGAATCGAATTTTTAAGGTATGATTTTGTAATCTAGCATTTAATTGTGTGATGAATAGACTTCTGTAATCTAGATTATTGTAAGTATATTTTGATAAAATGAAAGCATATTATAATATTTATAGTTTTTTGAAAATTTTAGTAGCTCTAATCTATTATTTATAGGTTTAAATAAGTCCAATCATTTCATTAGATCTTAGGACGTCACAATGAGGATGTTGGTCAAAAAGTAAGAGGAACATCAAGCTCCATACCTTATTGAGAGGGAAATTCTCAAGACCACGACAAGAAGTTATGGGTCATAGGTTGAAAATATGAGATATCACTAAGAAGTTAATGCAAAGAGCTTAGGTTTAAATGTTCTCGTCTTTGTTCAAATAAGTTGATATGACACTGAGAAGTTAGCACTAAATGCCTAGAAAGTAGATATCAACCCATTATGATATATCAGGATGACACTAGTAAGTAGTAAATTGATATTTTTCTCCCATAAAGTTATTGATCAAGGATCTATAATAAAAAGAGTGTTGAAAAGGTTGAGTTCCTTAAGGAATTCTCCATTCTTAAGGTTGAATTCCCAAGAGAAGTTTTTAAGGGTCAACTTCTCTAGAGGGCAAATTATTACGTCCAGTCACCGGACCTAGAAAATAGGTCCAGACATCCACTAAAAAGTTGCCACGTGGACCGCATTTTGACTGTGCGCTTTGACTGCACTTTAGGCGTGCTTTGGGTGCGCTTTGACTGTGGTTCTTGAAGCAACTTTCTAGTACAAAAATTTTAATTAGTTCATGTGATAAAAAAGTCGTCCCAAATGAAGCATGAGTAGCCTAGGATGGGATTTGAACTCAGAATAGCCTATCCAACTATAACATAAGCTTGGTCTAGCTATGTCATAAGTTTGGGCCTTGAGTCTAAGGCTTTGTTTGAGATGACTTTTTTACTGCTTCATAAAACAGCTTTTTAGTACAAAATTTTTTATTTATATACTAATATACTGCTTTAAGAAGCAATAAAAAAGCCATCCCAAACAAAGCCTAAATCAACCATACCAATTGTCATATGATTAGTTCATGTGGCATCATTTTTGTGAATCTACTTGAGGAGTGCATTATAGACATAAATAACAGTGCTTCATCAACTATTAATCATCACTAATATTTAACTAGGGTTTAATTCTGAAAATAACTCACCTTCAATAAAATATATGAAGTTCTGCAATGGTTCTGAAACAGATAGCGAGCTAGATTAAGAAGCTTTAAATGGGAGAAATCCAGTGCTGCAATATTATCTGCTAGTTGAAGAATTAACATCAATGCAAATGGAATTTCTTAGCTTTACCAGCAAACAACAATGGAGTTTTGGAGTTGGCTGCCAGATATGTTTAATAACAGGGTTTGCCTGTACAGCTTATAGAGGCCATCAATTTATTATTGAGAATAATGAAAGTCAATACAAATTTGATACAGTAATTATTAAAAATAAATAAAAATAAATTTTAATTCTTTTACCGATCAAACTAGGTGACATCCACATAAAAGTTAATCGTACTCAACAAAATTTTTCAAATTTCAGCTTCATCATCATAAGCTCTTAAAATGGTTAAATTACTGAATTTGTTTGCCAAAACAACTATGGATCTGTTGAGCTTAGCAGCCCACTTATAAGGTTTTGTTTGGGAAGACTTTTTTTTATTACTTTTAAAAATAATTTTTTAGTACAAAATTTTTTAAATCAAGAAATTTTTATACTAAAAAGTTATTTTGGAAAGATATCTTTCTTGCTGCTTTTCAAAATAATTTTTAAGTATAAAATTTTTTTGTTAAAAAAAATATAGGTACTAAAAAATTGCTTTTGAAAAGCAATTCAATAGTTTAAAAAAAAAAAAGGTTATAAGACATAGCAGATACGCAATTTTACCAAACACAATTGTATCGCAATCATAAGCCAATAATCAAGACCTGTACAAGACATCTAACAACACAGAACAAAGCAAGACAAACTCTCTATAACGAAAAAGCTAAGAAAATAAAGCATAGAACAAATTTGAAATAATGCTCAGAAAAACTTAATATCTTCACCGCACTATTTGGTTGCTTTCAAGTGGTTCACATGCCTCTACTGCATTTGAGCTATCTACTGCATTGGATGCCTTATTACCCACGAGTGCGAACCACCATCATTTATCAAACCATGACGAAAAGATTGCTCCAGAGCCTCTTCAGCCTCATCCAAATGCAGGGGCTTATTCTTTGCTCTGTTAAATCTTCCACTTGACTTCCTCCTCGTTGTTTGAATCCATTCTTTCTTTTCTTGCTGAGAATCAATTCCTTTACTCAAATCAAATGGCTTGATATTTTGCAAATCTGGCTCAGGCTTAAACATGTGCGGCCACTTAGCTCTAACCATTTTTCTGAAAGTAATGGATATCCTGCAGAATTTAAGAATAAAAAAATAAGCATATAAGCATTTGATGAGAGAAGTAATGAATATGAGATTAGATGAGGCAACCTTTTGCAAGGGACTGCAGGAACACAATGTTTGGCAATATCAGCTCCATTGCCATTTAAGACTAGTACAGATCTGAAAAAGATTGATATTAGAAGATAATAATTTAGATTGTATGTAATTGAATCGAATGAGAACAATATGATAAGACATCACAAAATTTTTCTGAATTTATCGAGCAAAAAAAATAATACCACTGAAGCAAACAAAAGAGAAAAATAATATAAACTGAAAACAAGTCAAGGGTTCAAATCCTTATCATGCAACCTGACAGAGTCCTCATGCCTTATTTTCCTCATAAAAAATTAAAGTTAAACTTTTTGCAAATATATGTTTTATGTGGAAAATGACCACCCAATTGACAAATAAACATATGCCTAAACAAACCCCCAGGAAATATCGACAACAGAAAAACTATAAAAATTATAGCAATATCTTATAACAATACAAGATTATAGTACATAATTTGCTAAATGAATATTACAAAGATAACAATATTTTAAACTTACCCAATTGGAAGGGAAATTGAAGCTGATCCAATGAATTCACCCGGCCCAGCAATTTTTAGGTTGGATCCGAACACTATATTGCACTCACTTAAAAAGGACACAGTGCAAAATGGCCTTCCAAAATCATGGTTATCAATATGAGGCGGTATGCAGTCACCAGGTTCATAGATATTAACAATGCAACTGTCAGGTACGCAATAAGTAGGCAACACATGCCAACCAACCAGCCGCTTTATCATAATCTTGAATAGATTTGGAATTGGATCAGCAATTACATTACGTAGGATGCCGGGAGGGACCCCATTCTTTCCCTGTTATCAACATGATAGTTAGTATTCTATCTTTTCTACAATAAATAAAGAAGTCAATAAGATAAGAGTACAACCGCATAGTTATAACAACATCCAAACTGGATTGTCACCCGCCCTTTACCACGCATCCACTTTCTTGGTTCAGAATATGTATACTCTACAAAAAAAATAATGTTAAATATTCTCGAAGGATATAAATGTTAATGAAAGATATTATTCTAAAATAATAATCAAAGAAAAACTTCACAATCCTGTGATGTATAAGCAAAATGATTATCATAAATATATCTAATTAGAAAGAAGAATACACAAATACAAAAAAACAGATTATAAACCATATACTAAAGAAAAAAAACACAGTTAAGTAAACCTAAATAAGTGAAATGATATGAAATCAATGTTTTAACCAATTGAAAAAAAAAAGTTTTAACGAATTGAATAACTTTTAAAATATTAGAAATACTTATTGATAAATGAACATGCTTGAATAATTTGGTGTTCAACTTATTTAAATAATGAATAATATCGTTTAAAACTCAATAAAACAAGCTTGATATTACGCTCGATTAAGGCTTGACAATGTGATCATTTAAAACTAGATTATATATTTATTTTATATTTGATTTCGTGGGAGTCTGGTTCTTTTCTATATCAGATTGTTTTTATTTATAAACACAAGCTACTTGTTTATGCTTATTATAATATTTGTTTATTAATTGTTCGTTCAGCTAAACTATCACTTTTAAACTCAATAGGCTATTCATTAATAGATTTGATAATATTTGTTCAGTTAACAAGCAAGTAGCTTGATAGTGTTACTCATTAATATATTTGTAAGGCTCATTTGGTCATCTAATGAACTGAGCTCAAACCAAACTCAAGCATTCATACTTTTAAATGGACTTAAGCTTGAACAGTACTATGAAGACTCGATCTCAAGGTTATACAGGGTTTTGACAAACATGCTCATGCTTAATCAAGCTCCTGTTCGGCTCAACTCAGTTCATTTGCAACCCAAATATCTAGCATGATATTCACAAGCTGAATGGAATATCCATGGTATTCACACACTGTATTCACCTATTACAAGTACCTCATATAACATAGGATTTACATAATTACATGTATTACAAGTAACGCACATCATACAGGATTTATTCTAATTGAATGTTCTATATATGATAGTAATGAAAAACATAAGAGTGAGGATTATCTATCGAATAGCTTTTTAATGATTTCATTATAGTATGAAATTGTTATGCTATACCCTCAAATTATTATTCCATCCATCAATAGAGACAAAAAAAAAACCACATAAAGATATTTTAAAAATTGATTGCCAAGGAGACAATACGAACAAAAGTTGAAAGCAAAAAATAAATAAAATGGGACGCTAAATGAGTCAATATGTCTGATGCTGCTTAATTTAGAGGACTCTTTTATGAGGTTGCCAGGAATCGTCAACTGGTAGCATAATTGCTAGTTTCATAATAACAAATCCTAAATCAACATAATATCTAGACAATGTTGAATAATTGCATAAATAATTAGCTTCAAATATGTTGTTCAAAACATAACAAATATATAAAATGATGTTTTTGAAAGGAATATGAAAGAAAAAAAATCAATTTTAAACTTACCTCCAAGTTCATTATTCCTCCCTTTCTTTTGCAGATCATAAACAAAATCCACAATTCTCTTCTGTTCAGCAGAACTAAAAACTCCAGTGTGCAATTCAAGACCCTTCAAAATATTCACTATCTTTCCACCTATCCTCTCAAGGCAAACAAAATCCTTCTTCCTTTTCACGCCTTTAAATCTGATTCTCTCTCTATCCTCTCTGGATAGCAAGGTTTTCGTAGGATTCACCTCCACCTTCTCCTCTTCCACTAATCCATCCATATTCTTCATCCCCTTCTTTTCGATTTCATCTTGTTGAGCAATATCAGCCCAAGACATGCCCGCTTTGAACGATTCCCGCTCTCGGTCTGTATCCCAATCCGTAGATTCGATATGATCGCAGCCATCTGTTGAGCTCCTAGCAAACTCTTCAACGCTGCCGGTTAAAACCAAACGTTCATCCTCTACATTTACGAATGATCCCTCCAGGTTTACGTCGACCTCCTCAGCCTGGTGGTCGCTGCGATTCGAGTCATGTCCTGCACAAACAAGAGATCCATGACAATCACATCACACAAAAGAAAAAAAAAAAAACTTGCGTGATAAATAACGCGAAGAAGGGCGAAAATAAACCCTAGATTCTGATGGGAACCTGTATTGAGCGATCGGATTCGACCACGAAGAATGTCGGCGCAACCCTCGCAGAGGTCCTTGGTAAGGAATGGCAGCCAGGTACTGAGGAATTCTTCAGCAATCATGAGATCGGAAGCACTAAAACGCTGAAGAAAGCGATCCAAATCCATCTCCCTCGCTTTCTCTAAACTCTCCTTTTTCCTTTGTAATCTTTTTGTATCGTTGAAGAATTTATAGACGGTTTTGAGGAGCAACCGCACAAAGACGTGCTATACCGCACAAAAACGAGTTATTTAAGGTAATGAGAGAAAATTTTAGGCTCTCTGTCGTGAGATCTGGTTTTTTTTTTTTGTGATAGATTTGTTTGGATTCCGTTGGATTTTTGTTTCTTTATAATTAATATATTTTTTTATTCTTAAACTAAAATATTTTTAATTTTCGAAAATACAAAAAATAGTTACCATATTTTGAAAATATCTCTAAATAAGTGTTTCGATTACTTAATTATATTAATAGGACAAATTAAATATTAATTATAATGCTTAGATATTAATAAGATGAGTTAAACATCAATTAGTGATATAATTAAGTTTATTAGTGGTTTATAAAAATTTTATTAATTAGAAAGGTATCAATAATAAAAATTATACTTATAAACTATTTATTAACATTAATAAAGAAATTCAATATGTATACTTCCAAAATCTATCATTCTTATTTATAAATTAAAAATATATATATTTTTAATGTTGTTATGCCCTTCTATGATTGAATATCTTAATTTTATATTGAAAGAGCTAGCTAGGTGTTAGTTATATAAAAGGCTATTTCATTGTAATCATTAGTTTTTTTTTTTTTTTTCAAAGCAGGTAATTTATTCAAGAAAAGATAAAGATACAATCATCTAAAGAGGATTATGCGAACTTCAGCAAAAGGAAACAAGAAATTACAGTGGAGCAACCACTAAAATAAAAGGGGGGATGACCAAATTCATGCTTAGGTATAGGCGAAACACTGCAATTATCCAAACGTTAGACCCGGGCCCTCCAATGGGCAAGTAATAAGCCAGAAAAAACCAAACAACTGAAACACAAACAAAGAGCAGCAAGAACCCGCTATCAGTGGTTGCCAACAAGCCATACGATCGGATGAAAAGCAGGTTCGCCTCATCATTGCCCTTGCTAAAAATCTCAGCCCCACCAACCAAGCCAACAAAAATGAAATGCAAATCCAAATCCAAAGAAACGTGCAACCAATTAGTCACAACATCCCAACAAAAGAAACCTTATTTGGATTTTCTACGACGACGATTACCCCTAACCAATGAAAAATCATTTCTCATAAGAGGATCCACCTGCAACTTATAAGCTTCACGAAGACCCCCAGACGAATCAACAAAGACAACTCGATTCCCGTCCGAATTAATAGGGGAAATATTCAACCAATATGAGTGGTCCACATAGCAGTCTCTAAACTTGCCCAATTGAGCTTGTAAAGCAACATTGGAAATAAGTGTCACCGGCACACCAACAACTTATGTAGACGTAAGAGCCCTCACAGATGTACCCAAAACAGTTACAGGAGAAGCATCAGCAGACCCACCAAAATCAATGGATCTATTATCTACAACCATATTAACTCCACATTGACCCTCAACATTATCCACCAAAGATTCACCAGAACCACTGTTACTAGGGAAATCCTCACCAACAATAGGAGCAGCATGCACATAAGCTCCATCCAACACAATAGCATCAGCACAAATCTAGGAGCAAACTGCAGGAATCAGATCCTCCACCGAGACATCCACAGGCACCACCACGCAATCAAAAGGTTGAATGCCAACAACAAGGACATCCACAATATCAACATTATTCAAAATAGGTTTAGGCACTACCCCACAAGACAAAAGCTGAATGCCATCAACATGGCCATCCACAAGATTAACATTATTTTAAAAAGGTTCAATAGCCTTATTCAAAACAGAATGAGCTAAAGCTAAATGGGGATGAAGGATTTTGCATTCAGATTTAGAGTGCCCCAAAGACTTGCAATGTGAGCAATAACAGGGAAAATCCTCCATCACAACCGGTTGTATATACCCTAAAGTTTTCGGACGACCACCCCACACCCTATCAGGATAAGATTTCGTAACATCCAGCTCAACTAGTACATGAGCAAGTGAAGGCTTAGAGCCAGACGATGTAGCGTGATCAATCTTAAGAGGCCGACCAAACATAGAACCTAAGCCATCCAGAATCTACAGGAAGAAGAGATGGGGTCGCAGATTAGAGAAAGAAACCCATATAGGAATAATGGGTTATCCAATCTCCACATCAAAGGTTGTTGTCCACTTAAAGATCTTCATGTAATAATTATTGACAAAATAAAAGCGGTGAGAAAACACACGACAGTAGTGTAGGTCATTAACAAGTTTGATTAACACATGTCTGGGTTTAAGAATAGTAACATAAAACTCGCCATTGAGCTTAAGGTTAAAAAAAAATTTCGAATACCCTCAAGCGACGGTCTACGCAAAGGGAATTTGCCTACCAATGCAAACTCAAAAGGCGCCGCTAATGCTAAAATTTCAGGTTCCGAAATCCACAATGATGGAAAACCACGGAAGGATGCTAGCTATTTTGAGATCCGGGAAAAGAGATGGGGAAAAACCATTAGATAAAGCATCATGGAAAGACTTCGAAGAAGATTTACCGGCCAAAATACTAGGATCAACCAATCGCTTGCCCGCCATCGACAAAAAACGACAGGGAGAAACCAGCCGAAAGAAAATGCAAAGAAATATTAAGAAGAAATCATAAAGGGAGAAATTAGAACTTCCCTGAGAGGAGAAGAACCACCAGCGACCACGAAAAGGGCAGTGGAGAACGGAGCTCAGATCGGAACGAAAATCCCAACATAGCACCCAGAGCGCATGACGGGAGATGATAGAGTGTAATCATTAGTTGTATAAAGTAAATCAAATGTTAGGGTTTGAAAGATTTTAGGTATTTGATTGAAAGATAAATAAATTTAGAGTGTTGTTTTAAGAATTTGCAATCCTTATTATTATCTTTTAGTTGAATTTGAAATTCATTAAAAATTAAAATTGGGCAAACTTTGAATTCTTTATACTTGGCGGGAATAACTTCCTGCCATCCTAGCTTCCTTCATCCATGACTTCCTCTATCACATTTTTCTACTCTTCCCATCATTTCTTTTTCTTTCCTCCTTGAGCTATCCCATTACAATTTTCTCTTCTACGCCCAATGATCTCATTATGTTTTCCTCCTTTCGCAAGTGATCAAGTCGTGTTTTTCTCTTCATCTCTAAGTGATCTTGTCAAGCTTTCCACTTCTTCTAAAATCTATCCCCATAATATATATCCTATTTCTAGTGATCCATTAGTGCATCTTAGGTGTTTTGTCTTTTTCAATTATTATCTATTAATTTTTATTAGTTTCAACCAAACATAAAAAAGTAATTATCTAAATTTCAAATACATTTTATTCCAATTAAGGCGCATTTAAAATTCTCATGAATTTTAAATACTTTCAGCCAAATAACTCATAAATTAATAAGATTTGAGAGTTACACATGAAATAATCTCATAAATAAATTTAAAATTTTATTAAATTTATTAAAATTTAGTCTATATTGAGGTTTGTAAGGAAATCTAAACATAAACTTTCTTTCCATTATTCATGCCATGCTTTTAATCAAAGTAATTTAACTATTAGCAATCAAAGTTGGGATTCAGGATGTAGGAGGAAAAGTTTGTGAAGAAAGCTAATTTGAAGAGAGGAAAAATTGGGTATGAAAATTAGGCAAAAGACTCTATATGTTTGGATGAATTATTCTGTGCGGGCATCAGATGGTCCGAAGATCAACCAGAATATGCCACGTTACCTGGTACACAGCAGTACCGAGCACCGATACCAAGCAAAAAATTGACATGATGACATGTTTTGGTTGGTCTCCGGACGCCGTCCGGGATCTGCACAGAATAATTTTTTCTATATTTGATGTATTTCTTAAAGATTCTATAAAGCCTTAGCTTTATAAGGCTCCAAGGAAGGCTCCTATATATAATCTCCTCTTATATGATTTTATATATTATTTACATTGTTCTTTAATATATAGCTTTGGCACTATAAGGAATGAAAAAATAAATGGGGGAGGGAGATTTTTACTATTGCCGTTGTAATGATTGAAAGTCTCTTTAATTGCTCCATATTCTATAGAGATTACAAATAGAAATATATTTTTTAATAAAAATAATAAAGCTTTTTCGTTTAATATTTATATGATAGTGATGAAAACTCAAAATTTTCTAACTTTGGACAACAACAATAATGACAATGAAATTCCCCTTCAATGATGGAAACAAAAACACGTTTCAATTAGGGAAAATTCTCAAATTTTTAATTTTTTAATAAAATTATTATTCTTATTCTGCATCATAAATGCATCAAATATTTCAGTTCCTTCAATCTTTTATAGGCCTCTGCTAGCTTAACTTCCTCTACTTTAAGTATTGTTTGAGTTCTATCATCTCTCTTCAAAAGGAAAAATTATTAGGTGCGGAGTATGGACCGTCCGCACACTGTCCGTACAAACACAGGGTACCAAGCGGTACCCAGTGGTACCCAGCAGTACCGAGTGGTACCTAGCTGGGTATCCTATACTTGTGTGAGGACGGTTTTCCCCGTCCGCACTCCGCACCTAATAATCTCTTTTGAAGACTAGGAAAATTCTGCACCACTGACTTCATGAAAAATTCAAATTATTATGTAATTTCTTTCTTGACACTATTCTGATTCTCCCTCAATAGAATAATTTTGTTTGGACTAGCTTTCTTACTGCTTTCTAAAGCAGTTTTTTAGTGTAAAACACTTTTAGTTCAAAAAAATTTTAGACTAAAAATTTACTGTAGAAAGCAATAAGAAAGCTGTTCCAAACGAAATCTATATATAACCTTGAACTTATCAAATTTATTGCATCCAAAGGAGTTACCCTCAAAGTGGCTTAAAAGCAACTTTGTTAAACGACGGTAAACTTTGTATTTGTGGTTGTTGTTTATCTTTCTATGAACATTTATTTGTTCATCATATCTAACTCCTTAGCAGCTCAACTTGAACATTTCTCTTTTTATCTTTTCAAACACCTATCATTTTTATTTGTTTCATGCTACTTGAACAAGTAGATAACAAATAAATCCACCATTAACACCTATCATTATAGTAATGACATTATCTACTTTGTGCGCGTCCTTACGAGTGTTAGGGAAGTTTT